CCGCCCCTCGTGACGTCAAAATGACGTAGGCGTTTTTTCATGGGGGTAAATATCCGGGGGTAGAAATCCGGCGACCCAAAGTCGTCTTCTAGACAAACTCACGGGCTGCACCGGTGCCAATACATGTTCCCAAAGCGCCCACTAATGTTATTGCCTTTAAATACACAGATTGCCATATTGATCCAACGCTTGATCGATCATGTTCTTATGTTGTTGTTAGGTTAATAAACCTACTCTACCGCTAGTGCCAAGACTAGGATTGTAACACAAAATTTAATTAAAAATAAACCAGTTCTACACGAAGTCCCATATACATATGTTGCAGTTTTTGCAGTAGTAGTGTCAATAGGTTGGTGATGATCAACTCTCTATTGTTGCTATCGCGGGTTTTGTTACCGAGGTTCTAGGTTCTGTTGTGTGTAGTTGTGTTGTTGACCCTGTGACAACCCGCATACTGTACGAGTCACTGTCCTGTGTTTATTAGTTCGATGAATGCCCCTTTGTAAAACTGACTTACGACCGAATCTCGAGACACTATCACGCACAGTACACACACAGTCTGTGTATACAGCTGGACATTCCATCCCATTCCCACGTTAAAGAAGTAGTGAATGTAGTACAGTAGAAGAATGAAAATAAACTTGGTTGAATTGAGTTATCGACAGAGTGTGCTGATGCAAACGGCCGATTTCTGTCGATTACGCCGACTTTTTTCAACCAAGCCATATGGAAAGGACAATTAACAGACTGTGCATGTGTTATTTAACAATAAATTCTGGAAGGAAAATTAATTTTAGTTTGTATCACCTAATTGTAGTGGTTCGTAACACTATGCTGCAAGACTAAAGTACCGGTACCATAGATAAAACATACTCCCTTAGTAGATTTGTAATCCTTAGGGATTAGCTGAAAATAATTTTATATTTAGTTCTGTCCGGTGCACTGTAGGGATCGTGTTTTGTTTACAATTTTTTCATGTTATTTCATCATTCAAAACCCCGTTTAGCCAAATAAAACGATATAATCATAAACAATAACTCGTCCCGTAGTTATATAACCAAACAGTAAAGCATAAATCATGAAATTAACCCTAAAATAATAGATACAAAATTTCGTCGACCAAAGCGATCAGTGTCACCAACTTGAACTAGATGGGAAAGAGCTTCAAAGTTTACAATTGGTATGAGGAGTCTACTTGTGTTGTAGTCTATGATGGTATACTCTACTTTAAATGCTATGTGAATGGCTCATTCACATACGTCTTTTTTCAATAAGAAAGGATGTCTTCTTCAGTATCCAAAATCAATTTACACTGTGACATTTACACTGTCATGTCACTCGTTACATCTTACGTCGTGTCAGAGGAGGTGGTCATTGCACTTTGACATTCTGTCTTGACTTTTATTTATAATCATGATTGATAATCTTTACCATGCACTTAATAACGACCATTCGCTGAATTTAACTATTTAGTCCTTTAAGTTAATTGAAAATACTGAACTCCCATTATTAATAAATATTGAAACGTTTGTCTCAGCTAACTGTTACTCTCAATGCAATATGAAAATGCAGCTGTACTTCCTTGGTGTACAACCTTTTACCTCAACTAACCGAATAACAGAAATAAATGTTTTCGTTGTGTGTAGTTTAAGTTTTATATACACTCCACGTTTTAGATTATATGATGCTCTCTGTATTAGTTCCAAAATTTTCAAACAAATGTAAAAGATTGTAGACATTGTTTATGACGCTATATAGTGTTACAAGTTAAATGTTCCATTGCTAAAGCGACTACATTTCATCGCTCTCGCCCGCTCTACACAAGTGTGCACAGCCTGCGTTTAACTACTTGCAGGGGAAACGAGTTATTGCAATGGTAATTATATTACGTTAGCTTGCAATGGTGTAATGGTAGCTTGCTCTTGTCAGCACTCTAGGTCAATTTGTGTATAACAACTGTTGGATGGAGTCTGTGATTTTTTATTATCTTGGGACGATAAGTACTAAATTTTACTGCATAGTTATCTCCAAGCTGTGTGACTGGCAGTTAAAATAAATTAAATGTAAAACCAGTGCTAATCTAAGATGTGAGACTATGTAATGGGATACTAAAATATAAAATAGGCTACCCTACATTTTAGATTTTTTTATAGACTTTAAATTTATTTAGCTGGCTTGAGCAAATATAAATCCAAAAATGTTTGAACGCTCATTTAGCAAAGTTAGCTTGCAGAGTGCATCGCGTAATCTAACGGCCTAATGAAACAGACTTGACATCTTTAAAAGATGAGTTTAAAAAATACTGGATGATTTGAAATAAATGTTTGACTAAACATTACACAAATCGCTGTTTTATTGAATAAAGCAGCCAATTACACAATGAAGCAAGCAAAGCAAATGTTCAATGTTATCTGATTTATGAAAAAAACCGCTATATTCCTTTACTAATCTTCCATGTTATTAATAATATAAAAGATAAAAGATTGGATGTCTATATAGGCCAATTTTTAAACTAATGTCACTTTGTTTTATCGTTATCTCAATCAGGCCTGTTATATTTATCGCTGTTTTCCTCCGAGATCCGCCAATTGGTTAATTACTAGCCTCAGTACGAAACACTGGACAGTCGTCATTTATCTGCAGTGAGCTATGTGACGTGTGTGGTGTTGTCAGACCAGAAAAGTCACAAGTAGTTAGCATTTCATCATCTCATTGGCTCAATTGGCTGGTCCAGCAAACTTGTCAACTAGGAACATTCTTGTTACGAAGCTACTATGTTGTAGGGTACTCAAATATCCATAGTCAAGAATGACCACTTTTGCTAATTCGCGAGTTTGGGAACTAGCGATGTCTCATGTCTGACTATGAACTAGACATCCCTCTCCCATGTTGTTATTGATGAAGCAATATTTTGAATGAAAATAGACGTAGTTATAGACCTTCGTAAACACCGACTGTTGAACAGAGCTAAACTTAAATGGCACTTGCTGCAAATTATAACACCTTTTATGTCACACCAAACATCGAAATTAACAGAGATACTCACATTTTGACAGCTCTTTAAGAAGCTTATTGCACTATATTTGATTTGAATGTTTTGCTACTATTTGAACACTTTTGTATGCGCATTGAGTTAAGAAAACTTCATTAAATCCTACATCTAGCTTAAAAACAATGCTTAAAATTAAATTTAAAAAGTGTTTTCAACTAGGTTTAATTTTTTTTTGTAATTTCCAACAGTTTGGAGACGGAAAGTAACTTAAAGTTAGTTTGAAATATTGTCTGGTTTCTCAGAAATTCTTAAGTTTATGTTCTTGACAGAAATAGGATGTCTTTAAAATTAGGACAATTGTGGCATTATTCAACACAACATTTTATTTTATGAAACGTATCATGAACACATTTTTGTGATTGTATCAAGTCTTAGAAGTTCAATGTCAAAGCACTTAGCACACTTTTTACAATTATTTTCTATCATGTTAGTGGAACTATTTAACAAAGTAGGCAGCTTGTAAACACCAATAAATTCCCATCACAGTTGTGACATTGGTCGCCATAAAATGCATTTAATGGTACACTAAAGCTGGGACACAGCGCCATTGGTACCGGGCGACTGTTATTTTCAATTGTAACATACACTTTACTGTACTTTAATGTTCCCTGTAAGGTGCGAATCTTTGGCGTATCCTTGTTTGGAAATATTTGCCATGAACCTTGGTACATATTGGCGGTTTTACCAGCACGAGTTAGAGAATGTTCGGGCGTATATTAAATCTGCGGGATTACCACGTCGATGGTTTACAATTGCTTTTTAACACTAAAGTTATTATTTCATCTATATCAGGTGTTCCAGCCGACCTAGATATTGGGATTTTACCTACATTTTGTTCACTAAAAATGGTTGTGATAAAATTGTTTGATAAGTTTGTACAACACCAAGATTTTGTTTTGAATGATCGTTTAAAAATATGCCAATAATCATGGATCGACTTTGGGTAGTTTTGTTGAATTGAATTAACTCCATTAAAAATTATATTTTCCTACAGTTACCTAACAATGTACATGTTCTCTCACTGATTTGAGAAAGCAAAGTGGCCAATTCGCTCATCAGTGAGACAATGTTAACATTGTCTCACTCTAATTACTTTGTCTCACTCCAGATATGCAACGTGAAGGCACGAAATAGTGAGCGCGTAACATGCAGGCAACGTCGTATGCGCGCGAAGTACGTTGGCAGCACTGGCTGTAAATCAGCTGGTCAGCTGTTGTACTGTTGTATTTGTCACTTCACATTAAATGTTATATTAAACGTTCACTTCTGTGTAAAAATAGGTTATGTTTCTTCACAAATTTATTTGTTTTATGGTAACTGTAGGAAAAGTATAATGTGCAACTCGAGTTCAAAGTACAATTGCCTCACTCGAGTGAGTCAATTGCTCACTTTTCTCACTAGTTGCACAAATAACTATTTCTTCATTTGATTATAAGATTGTGCTAGATATGAGGAAAATGCTAAAGTTTACGTTCAGTTGGGTTTTCCGGTCAATCTCGGTTTTAACAATAGTTTGCTTGTTCGAAACAATCAGTAATTGACAGCATACTCAACTCACTTTAATTTCCATTTTTAAATTGGCTACAACCATGTCTCTTTCTGTTATTAGTCAAAGAAGGTCTGCACGCCGTAGAACAAACTTGGTAGCAATAAGTTTGTAGTTTCTGGGTATCCACACTGTAGTATCTCGATTCGTAGTTTTTGAACCCACCCAACGTTCCTCACTTTCACATTTCAATCACAGTCCGTTATCAATTTTGATTCGACCTCTCCCCCCCCCTCCTCTCTCTGCAGTTGGAGGAACTGAATCTACAACAATGCGATGATTGCGACCGCGCCTCCTGATGATGATGATGCCTCGGGTGACGGGTGCTGACCTTGATATACGACCACTGCCACACTCCGCACTACGGCCCTGGCAGTGGCTGTGGTTAGTGTCGACACTGCTGCAGCACCGCGGTCCTTTAGTGTCAGTGGGTAGAAGGACCAATGTTTAGTTAGTGCAATGTGGATCGGAAGTGTTGTCAGGTGGATCTACCTCCCTACACCCAGTGAAATAGTGCGTTAAGAAATGAAATCTGAGTTAGTGCTACCATCTAGATACTCATCCTCTCTTCAGTGTTAGTGAGAAGAATGTATTCCCTTCAGTTAGTGTTTGTTGGTAGAACCCTTTCCTTGTAGTACCTTCTTCTGGGAGTATCCTTTCTGTGCAATACTGACGCTCCTAACTCTCTCTCTTCTAAGAGTCAATGTGGTTTTTTGTGGAACTCTCACCTTTTAGTGCCAAATGAGTTGTGGAATCTACCCTCACTGTAGTAAGTGCCACAGGCGAATCTCCACGCGACGTAATCGTAAAGTTTCAGAGTGTAGAGAACTCTGGGGCTGTTCTAGTGTTGTCAGTGCCTCCCCATGACGTCCCCTGATGATCATCCCTAGTAATTAGGTCCACAGTTATAGCTACAATGCGACGACATTCTTTACCAGCCCGCAGAATCAGCTATCCTGTCGTCTCGTTCAAACCTGTCCGGGTACGTAACAACGTTGTTAGAAGGTGAATTGGTACTCTAACAACTAACAACCATACAGTGTGTCCAGCTTCTACTAGGACAAACCTTACAAGATTGTTCGGGAGGTAAAAACAAACAAAAATGCAATAACAATGCGTCCTATCTCCAACCGTTTAGCGTCTGCCTGTCAGTGTTTTTCTCTTCTATAAGCTTAAATTGGTCAAATATAACTGAGAAATTATTTTTTTTTCTTGCTATACATACTACAGTTTTCTCCATTTAAACAAAAACTAGTTTTAACGATTCAACATTGTTTAAATGGAGAAAACTGTAGCCATGACAAGAGAAACATTAATTTATCAGTTATTATTTAACCACACTAAAGTTAACTAAGCTTTAATATGATGTCGTTGGAATCTGCGTAATATTTACAAATCTTATGTATCCTATAATTTGTTGCAAACTCAACGGTTGGTTTTTGTGGAATTTGACATTAAATATTGTTTAAACCATTTTGAAACGGTTCAAAAGTTTTTATTCGTATTTTGCACAAAGGCTGTGGTCAAAAAGATAAACATTGCTGCAGCATTTCAACGGTGTAGCTCAAACTGGATAGGCCTATATGAAAGTTTTTTGCAAAACATAACACATACAGAGAGACAGACGCTAAACGGTTCGGTATAGGACACAATGTTGTATTGAATTTTTGCTTGTTTTAACCTCCCGAATAAAAAGATTGTGCTAGTTTTAACATAAAACATAAAACATTTTAAATTGAGCAAAACCTGTACCACTCTGCCACTCACTGTGAAATATGTGTTATAAAAACAAGATGCCTGGGTTGCTATAAAGGTTTATGTTTTTGGAATTTAAAATCAGACTTTAAGCGTATTAAGTTAGGGAGGAGAACCTTACAAAAAATGGGGACCAAACTTTTACCTATTTTCATTTCAGTCAACGGGTATAAGTGGAAATGATTTTGTTACGAATGACAGTATGACACGAGTTCGTGTCATGACTTAATATTTAGCCACATTACCTTTTAAGGGGAAACTGTAGAGTTGCTGGTTTTTTATAGACATCAGGAAGTTGTGGAAACCCTGTTGGAATTTAGACAGTGTTTAGTGATAAATGTAATTTAAAGGTCGCAATAGTGATAATGCGTATAGGCTAAAGATGCATTGCTTTCACTTTGTGTTGATCTTTCGTCTTTGCTTAGTTTCACAAACACATTCATGATTTTAACGATTGCAACTAAACTTAGTAAATTTGATTTCAATATTATTGTATACGCATACTACTTGTTTACTTATAAGAACAATATTGACTATTGAATATTTTTGTAGGTTACCTTAAGTGGTAGTGGTATCGAAAGAACGTATATTAAATGTTGTTTTGAACAATTTCCGCTATAAGACATTTGAATTTAACTGGACTTCTAACAAATTTTCCCATGTATGTCCTACGGATAAACTAAGGCTAACTAAACTAAGGCTAACTAGGATAACTAAGGCTTATCTAAACTAAGACTTTCAAACGTATTTTAAAATGTTATACAAATCTAGATTTACCATAGAAAATCATGGTTTGCGGCAAAATCTAAATGTACATTTGAATTTTTATTTAAAATAGACAAGCTGTCCATCGAAAGTTTTTGTGCTTGTACCTTATGATGCAATACAACCTTGAGATCGTAAAACGTCCATACACTGGACATTTTAAACACTGGATAAGCATGTTACAATTAACTTTTCCAACGCGATCTCGTCGTTAAAATGAAAGTTGTTAGTGAGTATATTCTGACGAGATATTGAATTTTGAGAAATTACGAGCGAGTTTCGATGAATAAATGGAACACGCTTGATATGCATAGCCTAGCGCCCCGATCAGCTGATCGGCTGGAATTAGCGGGACGACGTCGGCATCACCCGCCAAAACTTTCACCCGGCCCGGCGATGGAAGATTCCGCGACCTTTAGTGGCCGCTCATGGGGAAGAATTTGATTCGCATTCACAAAAGCCTTACTTGGTGTCAAGCAGGGTAAATAACATTTGTTCACAACTTCACGTTCTAGAATCCTAGACTCAAAGCAGGCATAGGCATAGAGTCGCGACATTACATTGCTAAAAGACATTATCTATTTGCGAGATTGGACTCAGGGCTCCGTGCTCTACCTCTAGACCTATTCCCTCCTACAATAAATAACAGCTAAAAATAATGTTAAGGGTCTTTTAGCGAATTTCCCTTATAGGGAATAAGCTATTACCGTAGGTCTCATGGTATCACCTGGATCCTCCTATTAAATCTGGGACAAACGTTTGAACCTAGGTTTATTCGAACGAGTTCGGGAACCAGCATGATCGGACCATGGAAATTGGGTTTTATGGGGTAAAAATTAGATTTTCTCATTTTTGACCCTCAAAACATTAAATTTTGCAATTTCTCTCTAAACCTGTAAAGATAAAAAAGCATATAATTTAGTATATCAAAGTTTCTTTTTTATGTTGATTACAGAGAGAAAAAAAATTAATATAAAATGACCATGTTATTCTTATGGAGAATCAGTAAACTGTTGTAGTTTGCTTGTTTATGAAAATATTTTGATCAAACTTCGAAAATGTATTTATTTTGCATTAAGCTATTAAAATTTACTAAAAACACACTTTACCACTCTTCCACTACTCTTCCACTAGGTGTTGCAGCACACCTAGGTACTCGTTAAACCTTATGTTAAAAGTGAAAAACCAATAAGGCAAATGGAAATTCGCTTAGTCTGCAGATTTGCTGCGGTGGGAGTATTTAAACTTACATTTGGAGAATGTTAGCTTGAGAATGAGTTTTATTTAAAACTAGCTGGCCCGACAGACGTCGTCCTGTCCTATTGTGGTTTTATGTCACATGCTCGTTCATTTTCAAGATGAGCTCGTTCATTTTCAAGATGAGCTCGTTCGCATGGCTCAATAATGTCCTGGTTGAAGTTCGTTCGCTACGCTCACTCACCTTTAGGTTGGAGCTCGTTCGCTGCGCTCACTTGCCTTCGGGTTAGCTCGTTCGCTACGCTAACTCGCCTCCAGGTTGAAGTTCGTTCGCTACGCTCACTCACCTTTTGGTTGCAAATTAGCTGTTCTCATAATTTAAAAAATATAGTGCTGCACCCTGTTGGTAAACCTATTAACTTTTTAATGCTATTGAACATCACAGAATCAGATAGTTTAGTTGAACCAGCTGTTAAGATTCTTTAATTCCATTTAAATATGAGTACTCATAAGGTTAACATGGGAAACTCCAGAGCCACTGGGGCGGAGCCCTTTTGACGGATCTGCACCAAACTTCACACAAACCATCCTTGAATAATGCTTAATAATGCCTGAAAGTTTCATTACAATCTGTCGAGCGGTTTTGGAGTCCATAAAGGACAAACATACAAACAAACATACATTGGATTTTATATATATAGATAATTCAAATGTGCCTATTGTAAATATTTTTATTTGTTTAGATCAAAAGGGTTGATTGCCAACATCAGTGCAATCGGTGACTTAAATTGGATTTCTGCCTCACTTATGCAGACCCACAAAACCTCAATAGTCAATGGGGAAAGCTGTGACACTCATTGGCTAGGTCCATGTGCTATTGATATTTCAATTTGAAACATACTCTAATTTTGACATTGTGTAATTTCATCTCTGTACTGCAGTACCTGTTTAAATAACCTCTCGCTAGGCCCTGTGTGCGCCACTAATACTGCAAAGTGTAAACAGAATACTCATTAGCTGTTAGTACAATCTCAAGCATTCTGAATGCATCCTCTTTGAACTCTTCAATTTTTCGCATCTAAGAGATAGACTGTGTTTACATCGTTCTTGGTCCATCCAGACATTAATAATTGTCTGCTCTGGACGCTCTGGTCCAGTGAAAGGGCTTGAGCTCCTTTACTAACCCATTTGTCTGCAATCTCCAATAACAGCATACTTGGGCCCGTCACGTTATCTTGTCAAGTTCTGGTGAAGATTAGCGGTTTCTTTAGTCAAGACAATACAATTTTGGATACTAAATAGACGTATCATCGATGTGGACTAGCTATTAGCAAATCTTCACCCAAAAAGAACACAATTGAATGACCCACTTACATATTGTTCCGCAGTCTGAAATTCTATTTTCTCCGTTTTTGTTACTCTGATAGTTTATGAAACATAAGATATGCTATATCCTACATTAAGACGTGCTTCCAGTTTGGCTAGGTTAAATACAGTAATTTACATCAACGCACAATTTCATCATCATTAATTTTTTAAATTCTGAAATTGGCTATAACTTTCAGATGGGAATTTATTGTCTAGTTTCATCCATATAAAGCTAAAAGTCCAATGATCAAAACCGTTACTGCACTTTTGAACCATTAATAAGCTACTGACTTCACCCTGGATTGACTTCATGGAATGAAAATCAAAGAAATACTTTCAACTTTGTTGAACCTCTTTACTTATCAGATTTGGAACCTCTTCATCTGCACCATGCTTTACTTAAAGGTTAAAGGTTTTTTAAAGGTTTGATAATTTCTTTTGCTGGAAAAATCATATGATTTTGGTAGTTTGAAACTAGGATCAGCTGTTCAAGATTGATAGGGCCTGACTTTAAGAATCACCTGATCTTAATCAGTAGAAGCTGTAACATATCTTATTCATTCAAAACTCATTGTTGCCTTAAAATACTCACATTGGTATGTCGGCGAAGTAATTTTGTCAAAATCTAAAATCTAATCTTGTTTGTTGCAGACGGAGAGCGAGTGCTCATGTGGGGAGAGGAACGAGGAGACGGCGCGGCTGACGGAGGGGGGAGAAGGAGACATGTCGCCCCCTCAGGACGAGGACAACTTGTCGTACTGCGAGTTCCACGACATCCCGCCACCACCAGACGGAGGCTATGGCTGGGTCATAGTGTTCGCAAGCTTCATGTGCAACATGATAGTGGACGGCATTGCGTACACGTTCGGCGTCTTCCTCGGAGAGTACGTCAAGGACTTTGGCGAGGGCAAGGGCAAGACAGCGTGGGCCGGGTCACTCCTCTCGGGGATGTATCTCAGTGTTGGTGAGTTGATGTCTAAACTACATTGAGTGGCCATCTAAATAGAGCCTAATTTTCCATTTATAAAAATTTCAAATTTCTCTTAACTCTACCCACTCATAAATGCTCAAGAGTTAGTTACAAGTGATAGCTTATTTAAGTCTTAGCATTGGTGTGATGGCTTTCTGTAAAATAGTAAAGTATCCTCAAGCTCCTGGTATGCAAGGGAGCAAGTTAAAATCTGAGACCTGTACAGTGTTCTTCACATCCAAAGTCCTTTCTGCAAACACATTTGCAAACTGACTACGCATTTCAATAGGGATTGACCTCTTACTTACAAAAACTTACACGTAATACGGTTCTAACTTCGAGGCCAGGAGCCTCGATTTTCCCTCACATCCTTTTTGGCTACAATGTTGTTGAATAGTAGTGAATTCATTCAAGAACATGGAGTTGGTTTCAGATTTGAACTTATTTGGAATTTGATGACGATCTTAATTTACAGAACTGTTTATTTGTCACTGACATAGTCTTAAAAATTGATACCTTATGAAGATGTAAGTGATGACATTTAATTTTGTTTGCAGGTCCAATAGTGAGCGCTCTGACCAACAAGTACGGCTGTCGTGCGGTGTGTGTCACTGGCAGTCTCATCGGGTGTGCAGCCTTCGTACTCAGCACGTACTCTCCCAACGTCAACACTCTGATGCTCACATATGGCTTCATGGGAGGTAAAACATACCATTCAGTAGATTATTCAGTGGATTATGTTTATTCAGGGCCATTTATCAAAAGCTCCAACGATGAAGGACAGCTTGGTCCAGCATCGAAACATCAAAATATACAAAATCTTCTCAGAATTGAACCTGCGACCTAATGGTTACTAGACAAGCACTTTATCAAGCTATCCAGCTAACAATACCATAGAAATCAATGGTTAATAGCAGCACATTCTTGACGGTCGCTCAATTCAACAATTACCACTTTTTACTTTCTCCCCCTATACCATAGTGTAATATGGAGAAAGTATTGTTTTCATCAAAATTTTCGAGTTTGAGTTTTGAATGGATACATCCGTTTTGGGTCCCCCTGGACAAAAAAAGTGGTTTTTGAAATGATTTATGTGTGTGTTTGCGTGTATGTCTGAATATGTACAGAGCTAGGGACTACACCTGTGGTCCGATTTCGATAAAATTTGGTATGTAGGTACTAATCCATATTATCTTCTGGCGTTTTTTTTTTTTTTTTTTTTTTTCATTTCTAATGGTGATTTTCCCATGAAAACCCATAAAATAACAGAAATATAAAATTTTCTTAAAAATGGCCCAAACGATTTCGATAAAAATTTAGTATGTTATAGCCTAGAAAATTCTGAACAAAATCATATAACTCCCATTGCTGTAAAAATTAGGGTTCAAAAGTTATGGTAACTTAAATATTAATTTCCTATAAAAAAAACCCTATAAAATTATGGAAATTCGGATTAAAAAAATTCTGGTTTTAATTAAATTTAGTATGTTATGGTTCTTATAATTCTAAACAACATAGTGCAACCCACCATTGCTGTAAACAATACGGTTCAAATGTTATTGCAACTTTTGTGATTTTCTCGATAAAATATTATAAAGGTTGTTGACAAGCTAGTGGGAGAAAGTATGCGTCAGATTTCTGATACCGTTTATTTTGAATGGCCACAACTTGGACCACAACATGGGAATGGGATGTCTTCAACTCTAAAGTCAAAATATACAATACTACAGTATGATGCCTGATGTATTGATTCTGGGAATGAGATAAGCAGCCACTTAAGTCGCTACCTGATGGGTACTTATGAGCACCAACTAGTACAGCCCTTGACAGGGTGAGTGCAACAAAAAAAACCATTTGTATATCTCCTCCGTAAGAATTGAGTTAATCCTCCTCCATAAGACTTGAGTTGATTTCAATGCTTGAGGTGTCAAAAAATATTTTACATAACCCGCCATGTTAAACTTTCCTATCCCAAGCGTGACAACTTCTTTACTTCACAAGTTATGTAAAGTTGAAAAATTTCACTCGGTGAGGTAATGAAACCCATTTAAATAACATTGAGTGCTTAACTTAAAAAATATACCTCTATGGAGCCAACGACGTTTACCGCTAGAAGTCAGCTGTGTGCTTGAATGTTATTGTTATGCTTTAAAGTATTTTCCTAACCTAGCTTTTGTTTGTAAAAGAACGTTGCTGTTAGAAGATGAGTGAAATGGATAATGAAAAATGTTGTACGTAACCCCCTGTATATTGTCAGGTCAGGTAAAATCTTTTACGTTACACGTTACGCAAGAGCGTTTTTACATCACTTAGGTGAATTACGCACAACACTCACCTGCGTGAGGTAAAAACGCTCTTACTACACTTCTAATGTAAATAGCTATTGTTCTATCGTTTTCTACATAACTTTTTCACCCTGAAGAGCCAGACAGGGTGGGGAGTTTGTGGTCTTATTACTACACATGTTATTTAGTGTACATATTTTCCCTTATAGCTGACGTGTATAGTCAATGGTTCAACCATGTAACAATTTTACTTGTTTTGCTACAACTGATTAGTCTAATGCTACCCTTTGTAGATGGTCCTACATCTGAGGGATGTTTGGAGGGGTCGTCGGAATTTTATCCCCCTGGAATTTTACCCCCTGGGCAAAGCTGACGTCACTATGACGTAGTAACCTGAGTGGCCAAAAGTTTCTTCGCGGCCGGAATTTTACCCCCGCGGATTTAGAAGTCTAATGAAAGTAGTCAGAGCGTGATTAATTAGATTAGCGATATAAACCGGAATTTTACCCCCTGTCCATATAACTAGCGTTTAGACAACTGAAGATGTACGGGCCAGATTTTTACCCCCGGAATTTTACCCCCCGGAATTTTACCCCCTGGCCGATTTTAGAAATGGAATGATTGATTTCCTTATTTCTGTTTTTAATTAATTGTAAACAGTTCATTATTTAGTAGCCTATCTTTATTTATTTATTTTGTAATCTCAACTAAGTAAACAGAATTCGCTGTTTTATTTTGATCGTATTAACCAACAGTCCAGCAAGATCGAATCCTGATACTCGAATCTCAAAATTAAAATTATTAACATGTTCAATTTGTTAATGTTACAAATAAATTAAGAGGCTACTTAATAATAAAATGTTTACTATTAAATTAAAACTGAATGAAGATAATTAATCATTCTCACTAATTTATGCATCTGACTAGGGGGTAAAATTCCGGGGGTAAAAATCCGGGGGTAAAATTCCGGGGGTAAAAATCCGGGGGTAAAAATCCGGCCCGTACATCTTCAGTTGTCTAAACGCTAGTTATATGGACAGGGGGTAAAATTCCGGTTTATATCGCTAATCTAATTAATCACGCTCTGACTACTTTCATTAGACTTCTAAATCCGCGGGGGTAAAATTCCGGCCGCGAATAAACTTTTGGCCACATTTTAGGTTTTGATAATTTGATGTGTTCTGATTAAATTCACAACCGTGAAAATATATGTTTAATTCCACGTTTAATCCATCGAGCTGATGTCGCGAAACTCAAAAGTTCGCGGCCGGAATTTTACCCCCTGGTTTGTGACGTCACGTTTGCCCAGGGGGTAAAATTCCAGGGGGATAAAAATCCGCTACCCCGTTTGGAGTAGGAAGTAGGAAGACGAATGAGTCATAGAGTCATACTTTATCTTCACAATCCTTCCACACTAACCAAATTTCTTTGTCAACAATAGATAATTACAATAAAATTGTTGCTGTGACTCTAAATTTAGGGTCCTTTTTCATTGTTTTAACTTGGACTAGATCTACAATAAAGCTGAACGTTTTGCTCCTTGGAAACAATCATATTTCACTCATATACATCAAAACGTACAAACTGGTTTGTCGATTACTCTAATCTAGTTCAGTGAATCAACTGTTTGTTATCACTCTTAGGGACATACCTAAAACCTTCTTCAGCTACATATTTATTCAGAGCTTAAATTGGAATAAATGTTTCATCTCATATGAGTTAGGTAAATGGGTTGTTCGGCTGTTATTAGGTTACAAAGTAGTTGAGTGCACCTGATACGGGTCAAGATGAGATAACAAGTGGAAAATTTACTCAATCATTCAAACGGTATTTAAGTACTGTACTTTGTAATGTATGTCACCTACATTGTTAATCTTCTGTTCTGATTTGACATTTAAAATGTCTACTGAATTTCATCAGCCTACCTTTTAGTCTATTGAACTAAAATGTGTAATGAAGAAGGATTTTACTCTTTGGTGTGTACATCATGTTTTTTTTATATGAAAACAACATTGGAATATTTCCCCATTGTTGTCCCTTGCTATAATTTTCCAATCAAATTGGGACATGTGGTTCATGGTTGTCCTGTCAAAATTTAATACACCTTTAACAGTTTTCAGCTTGTCCTATTTATGAATATTCATGAAAGGTGTCTCTCTCTTGCTAAAGGTCATTAATATTTAAAAAATAAATACTAAGGGAAACTCGTTTATTGAATATTGCTTCTGTCAAATGGTGACAGTTTGGTTATGAAGGATGTTAAAAAAAAACCTATTTTCACAGATAGAAGTCTGATTTAGGAACATTTAAACATTGGACGTATGAAAATTAAGTATGACATTTTTTACGTTTTGTGATAGTAAACTAGTACATTATTATATACATTTTGAAGATTTTCACACTCTGCTGCCGAGTCACCCTTGCACCTCACTGAAAAACTGCATGTTTTAGAATGTTACGTCAGCATATTCGGACACCTATATGAAAATTCCAATGGTTATTGAATTCAAATAACAAAATTAAAGTTGACTCCACAAAACGCAGCCTTTATAATATTTAAATGAAAACCAAGTGGCTGATTAGATTTTTTTAAGAGTACTCATTTAGTTAGAGGATATTGGAGCCCAGGGAATGTGTTAAGTCATGATCTCCAGGTTCCTCAGGTCAACTATTTGAACTTTATTCTATCCCTTTTCAAAAATTCCAAATACAGCTTTAGACACCAGGGTATTTTAATTTTTAATTTGTGTATATCCAAACCCCTGGCAGTTTTAACATTTTTTGTAAGGGAAAAGTTAGGGCAAATGTTTCTTACAAACAATTATTTGAAGGTTATGAGGACACTTTTAGTTTGCTCGGTAGTATATTTATGGCTTTCAAATTAAAGCAAGTGTCTAATTAAAAGTAAAAGAGATGATGCAAGATTGGTGTACCAAGGTCAAGTGAAAACAACTATGAATAAACAACAAAAATGTGTTTATAGATGTACCAAAGATTTTCCTCCATATTACTAAACTTAAGTTGGTAAACCCTAGATGTTGAGACTCTTACATTGCAGAAATAGTGTAAGTTACTTTAAAGTCAGTGTGTCTGATGTTTCAGGTATCGGGTTCGGCATGATCTACCTGCCGGCCGTCGTGTGTGTCGGGTACTACTTTGAGACGAAGCGGTCGCTAGCCACTGGCCTCGCTGTGTGCGGCTCTGGGTTCGGCACATTTGTGTTCGCCCCGGTTGCTACCACTCTGCTGGAGATGTACGAGTGGAGGGGCGCTCATCTGATCCTCGCAGGACTTATTCTCAACTGTGCTGTGAGTTCTCTTCCGTCTCGAGCTGTAGTTAGACCCCACACACTCCCTCCAACGCAAACATTATTTTTTTTTGCATTTTGGCTTTGAGCCGAATTATTTATGCCGCTTCGAGTCCGGGTACTAGCTGAACTGTGGCAAGATGAATGCTTATTTTGCAAAAAGTTAGAGATTTTTTTTATTTATATTGTTAGCACCAACATTTTTTTCTGTATTTATTTAGCACCAAAATAAGTACCAAATGAATTATGATAGAATTAGTACCCCCGTTTTTTTTTAATATATACATTGTATACCAACATATTAAATTGAAAGCTTCAACTCTCATGAATTCCTAAAGATTATTGATTTGAAAAATAACTTACCGTGTTTGTATTTTTGTGGTACTTGTCTGTTGTGTGGACGACTGTCTTTTTATTGTGGAAAAATATTTTGGCTCTGTATGGATTATTTATTGCTTGGAAGAACAATATTTAACTTTCCTTCCTTACTACAGTAGCTATAGCCTAGGTAAAATATTTTTTAATTTTTTTCTGAAAGCGGAAAACACTCAGCCAAACTTAATTTACCAGTATAATTATTTGCCAATTATTTTACCTTCAATTACTATTTAACACCTAATATAGCACATAGTAAAAGAGTTAAATTAAACATTTTAAGTGCAAGGCTCTTTTTGATTATGCAAATTTAATTTAATCATGGTACCCACACTGAATTCTTTGATTGAGTCCTTGGGTGAACCTTTAAAATGGAAATAGGTTGATTCTCAACTCCTCAAATTCATCATACTGTTCTTGATACTTTGTGACTTTGGAATCATATCTAATTCAAGAATGGCCTACGATTTGCTGCAGAATCGTGGTCATCTACCACGTTCATGGCAAAGTTATGATAACCGCCCATGGCAATATTGTGGTCATTTTCAAGATCTTGGCAAGATAAACGATTAAAAAAAGGCAATAGGCTATCTCAAATTTATTTTAAGAATTTTTTTTCTTTTTGATCTTTTTTGTCTTTAAAAAGCTAATTAGTTGAAGTTTTGGTACAAAAAATTTCACAATCACAAGTATAATATTACTTGAGGAATGTAAGGTCAAAATTGAACTATGCTAAAACCTGGTTCCACTTACCCCACTTCACCCTCCACAGGGTGTATTGTGAGGTACTATTCCATTCTTCCAAAAAGTTCCAAAACACTCAAATCCCATTAGAAACATGGCAATCCCCAATAATTTTAGGGTAAAACCCCTACTTTTAAATATTCCTGTTGCATTAAAAAATATACATATAATTTTGTATGAATACTGAATAGATAACTCTTAATATTTATGAATAAATCCTACAGTGCCTTTTCAAAATTGTGTGTATTAGGAGTAATTTATCAATCCTTCCTTTTTAATTAATTTGATCCAACTTGGTCTACAATTTGAACCACATTCGGTATTGAGAACAAAAGTATTTTTTTTTTATTAATATTAGATTGGTGATCCGTTTGGCTGTTTCCTGCCCGCAACGGCATTGTTGAGGTGTCGCTACTGCCGCTCGCTCATATGTACTGGTCCATTTGTCTCAAAAGTCTACTGCTACTCCCCCTTTGCAATCGTTACTCTTGTGTTCCTGGGCTAAGCCCTTGAGTATCAGTGCAGTATGCAATGTTGAAAATTATGTGAATACTATTATGATCTTAACAAACTGTGTACACATCGCCGATAGAAGTTTCAGTTTGATTGGGGGCCTTGTTTTACTGACCGTATCCTTATGGTTTTGACTCAAAAGTGTCCACTCAACAGAAAGTACCATTTTAATCACTCAGTAACAAAATTCTACCATTTTAAGTGAGATGTAACTTCAACTTAGAAAGGATAAATAAACTGTTAAAAATGTTGTAAAACCTGTTGTTGCTATTGTTGATTCTTTCTAACGATCTAACAATATTTCAAAAGTTCTTAAAACTCTTACAAACTAAAATTTCTTATGAAAATAACACCAAATATTGTCGATGTTGCTATATCTATGTCCTGAAAATGCTTTCGGCTTTAGTTATTTTGTATTTGAATAGTCTTTCTATTTGTATTAGGCTAAAATATTGAGCTACTCTAAACCCAATAATATTTAACCAAAAACCAACAAACGTTTGTACCGGTTGTTACGCATAGTAGATCGGCAATTAAACAATTATAAGCCTGAACTACACTAGGGTCTGATCACCTCTCGAGGTGGAAAAGAACTTGTAACACAGCTGGGAATGAGAACTGAGAGAATCAATTTGTTTTATTTAGTTTGTTAACTAATCTTCATTACTTCTGTCCATAACTGCATGTCACTAACCGTAAACATTAATGCACTAAACATCATAACCAAATTACTATGCACAAACTATTACTCTATCACTGTTGTCTTCCTCTTTTCAAATAGCAATTCATTTTCCTGTGTCTTTTTCTTTCTTATGGTTCCATCAAATTATTTCATTGTAGCTCATAAATTTGTAATAACAAATTAATAATCATTACTAGGCCTACCTCGATCTAAATTGAATTAACCTGATAACTATACTTTAGCTCTATCTTTTTTCCATTCCTAACATTATACACTATTATAACATCATGTTTCATCCGTTTTATGATAAAGCTTTGTAAATACTTTTATTGAAATATTTTTTGTCCCACTTTAACATATTAGTTACCTGATTACTTAGTTGCAAACAACTATTCTAATACTAAATGCTTGGCTTGTTTATTCTTGTTTTCCATTGCTCTTTGAATGCTTTCATGCTTTGCTTTAACAATATGCACATGCTTGAACTATAGATTGTAATGCTTAATTTTACTTAAGCTTATAAGGTGTTTGCAATTGTATATTTACTTTGTTACTGTCCATAATTCACTATTGCCTTGCCTATGTATATATATGCATTAGGGTGGGCCGATAAACAAATTTTTATTGCTCAAAGCTGTAATAACACAGAGAAGATATAAACTGTTGAAAAAAAGAACTTGAACAATTTTTTATCAAACTTGACCCAACACATTACTGGAAGATATTCTTCTACTTTGAATATTTATCCCTCCTTTTTTTGCCAGTGTAATTTGCAACTTTTCCGCACTATTACAAGTTTGGAAAATAAAATAGGTTTTCCATCCCATTCTAACGTAGGCTTATTTATTTTAATCTATAAAACACTGGTTTAAATTGAAAGTTATATGTTAACTCAGTGCTGGATTTAGGCCAAATTACTCGAGCGGCCCCCACCACTGTGGTGGAAATTCCCTGCAATACCATAAAATCGTGAACATCTCCCACGATCAAGGGGACATCGTCAATGTTGCCCACGATCGTGGATGAAATCGTGGACATCTCCCCCGAGCCGCTTCACGCGAACCTCATTCTCATACATGATCACAGATAATTTGTTAACACCTACCAACCCTAAATCAAGGAAATGTCATCACTGACTCCTGCAACTGCTGCTAAATCATGAACATTACCGGCAGGCCACAATCATGGGGACATCATCATCGTGACCTGCGATTGCAGATGAACTCGTGAAAATCAAACGATCATGAAGGCAACACTGTCATCGTCTCCAGGTGGCAAAATCATGAACATATCCCGCAGGCCACAAACATGGTGACATTATCATCGTCACCAGGATCTCTTGGAAATCGTGATACTCACCCTAAAAGAAAAGAATATCTTCACCACAATCATAGGGACATCATTATTGTCACCTTCAATCGTGACAAATTAATAAAAAAATGTTTTTTGTCAATCATTTGTGGCTCCCTTTTGCTTGCGGCCCTAGACTGTGGCCTAGTGGTAAATCCAGCACTGTGTATATATCTAGTTTTTTTTTTTTTAATTTGCAGTCATTGGTTATGTATGCTCTGAAATGTTGTGCCTTACCAAGAATATGCATTCTAACATTGTTTGACGGAGTTTGTAACTGTACCTCTGTTTTCAGTTTTAATAAAAGCAAAATTTGTAAAGGTTAACAATTTATTAACACTTACAATAATGTTGAAACCATATTTTCTAAAAGCTGGGATGGTTTTAACAAACATTGATGTAAATTTTATGTTTGTAGATAACTTTATTTTTGATTAAAACTAGTAGTTTTCGTGTTGAAACAGTGTTGACAGTCGTAAATAAAGGTTGTTAACAACTCTTTGTTCTGGATAATAATATTAATATGTATTTCATGGTTCTGTCCGTCTGGTTTGCTGCTTTTGTTTCTTTAATCGTGTAGAAAAGAGTTATCACTGTTTTTGAGTTATATAAAATATGTTTATTATTTATAGCCAAACAGCCTTCATTTCATAGTCAAATTGATAACATTTCACTGATTCAGGTAAGGTAAGTACCATTCGACTGATGTAAATTTAAAATTTTTATCTTTTTTTTCTTATGTGTGATTGTTGTGGTTTGTTTTTAAGTTAAATATTGCTAAAAAAGTAAAATTTAAATAAAACACACAAATACCGGGATAACTGTCAGGAGTATCAGGTAATAAAGTTTTGGTTTAAAGTAAAGACTATATTTTCAGTATGTGGTTGAAAATAAAACCTTTTAGGTCCAAAACCATTGATCGTGCAACCAAAACTAGGATCTTGTGACAGTAATCCAGGTGTATTTTACTTTATGTGCCTTTATGTTCCTGAGTTCATCGTCGGTGATGGCAAGTTTGTTTATGTATTATCAACCAAAATCTTACGCTTTCATCGCTAACTATTTATCCATCACTACCCCTTTGTCTTCATTTCTCTAAACCCATTATCTCTCTAAAAGTCTACTAAAATGTTCATAAGAAAACACCTATCTGTTCAATAACTTGTTTGTTTGTTGTAGATAACTTCTCAATTCTATAATCTTCCAAACGATTTCCACAAAAGCATTCTGTTTGCAACTCAGTTTATGCATGAGCTCTGCCTTTGTAAATCTTTTCTTTTTTGTTTTTGCTATTTGTATTTATTTACCTTTCGACTCAATGTTTTGTGTTCTGTTTCTTAGTTAGGCATTTTCAAGTTCAAGTTTCATTATGTACAGTTAGGTTGTTCACTGTATTCTAACAAAAAATGCATTTAATTTAATTTAATTTTTTTCTGGCGATTTTCCAAAGCCCAAAGTTGTTTAGCTCTGCAGTGAGACGATGAGTGTTTGACAGGTGTTTGGAGCATTGATGCGGCCGCTGGAATTCCCCAAGGAGGGCCCGAACTGCAAGCCTCTATTGCTGCGCATGGCTGATGAGAAACGCTTCCAGATGGAGAGAGGCAGTATAGGAGGCTCGTACTTCATAGTGCAGCTGCCGGACGGGTGGGTACTTCAATATACCAATCATTGGAAAGTGTTACAAGTTTCCAGGTTCAATACAAAACATAATATGTGTGTTCCATATAATTCACAGACGTTTTATCCCAATCAGCCAAATGTGTTCTCCAATTGGCTGGATACCCGGGATAGTATTTAAGGACGCCTAGCTTATTTTTATGTTTAAATATTGTGTAACCTTTTCCGTAATAGGTAAATTGGAGGCCTCTGATCTTTGACTGTTGATAGAACTATATATTCCATCCCTATGTTAAAGTTGTCGCCAGTTTTTTAAATCAAAATTGGAGTAGTTAATGTGAGCCACTGACAAATTTTGCTGATCTAATTACAGTAGAACCTCATTTTAAGCGAAAACGGGTTAACCGTAACGGTTCCATAAATTAATTCAGGGTTAAAATATAAGTACAATACGTAATATGTAAAAAGCGAGTTGTAGCGCCGAGTCCCTCTCTCCTTAGAAAGGGGCTTTTCTAACCCATTGTAACATTTTTGTAGCTGAAATAAAATACTGTATTTTAGGCTATTTTTAGCATATGACCGAAAAATAGGTCATCCGAAACGGCTCCCCCCCTTTATTTCGATTAACCAGGGTTCTACTATAAATAATTTCTATTAAACGAATACACAAGCCTTTTTACCAAATCATACTAATGAAATGACTTATTGTAAGCTATAGCATCTGTTTTGACCCATAACCTTGGTCAACAACAACAAAAATAAGGTAGAAAATATAATTTTTGAAACTAGCCCATTCTGTGTCTGGTTAACACAACTATGTTTTTTTATTATTTTTAATACAAATTGGCTACAGCTGGCCCATATAGATGAGACGTCCGTCTACCTTAGTATTCAATAGTCAATGCTCTGATGTACAAAATAATATAAAAAAGAGTCCTAGTCATATCAAAGATCTTAAAATGTGTAATATTAAAGGCAATTCGTTTAAATGGGTAGCATATAAGATATTATTGTTGTAGCCTTGAAAAGCCATTTAATTGTTGTTTCTATGACAGTTCAATGGAGAAGAGAATGAAGATGCCCATCAATGTAGACCCTGGGGTACATTCCAGCTTCAACCTGGACCAGTTAGTCCCTGGAACACCCATCACACCAGTGCCTACCATGGCTGTTCTGCCTACCATCACAGAGGCTAAGGTATTTTTAATTTGTGTTTATCCATCATGTCCATTTATTACGTTTTCTGTAAGAAAAACTGTGGTCTTGTTTCCATCTAACGTACACCTTTTTTAGCAATTAATTTTGCTCAATGATAAATAGCATCTGGTTCCAGTATGAATCTTACTTGAAATCGAACAAGCGACATTCAGATTTGAAGGCGAGCACTATTATAACCACTTGGCTACCCACAAAATGATTGAATGTGTGAGAAAATATGGTACAAAACAATATGGATAATGTGGTATGGATTCAGTTTCATCCTAGACCAGAAAGTTTTGAGATATCTCTCTAAACTGTAAAATTAATAGTGTAAAACTATATTTCACTTTAATTCATAGTTTGATCCTTAAATTTATTTTGGTAGTTTTTTCTATAATAAATAGTAAAAAATATTTTCAATATTAAATGTTATTTCAGATTCCTGAACAAAGTGGTTCAAGCGGAAATTCAGAGAGTGGAAGCGCGCCAGACCTGAAATCTGGCGATGCACAATTGAAAAAAGACAAGAAAATCGAAGAAAAGAAAAAATCAGAGGAGGAAATCAAGGAGCCTAGACTAAAGAAAACTTCTCTGACGGAGTTTCAAAACCGCCAAGCTGGAGCAATTCCCAGAAACGCGTCACAGCCCGCCTTCACTAGTTCTACACAAGGTCTTCCAAAAAACGGGTCTGTACCGTTCTTTGACAGGATTCGCAAGACGAGCCAAGGAGAACGTTACAAGCCGACGTTGCAAGCAATCAGAGTCTCTCGGGGGAACATGAACTCTAACGGAGATGTTCGCAAATCCCTCCACCTGCGCCTGTCCACGGCATCCGTCGTTGGCAGCAAGAACAACAATACCGATGACATGGGCATCTCTAAAACAGATGTGAGTTTCTTAGAATACTAATTTGATTTGTAGTGTTTTTAATCAGTGTTACTCTTGGTAATTGATTTGGCCTATTCACTACATCAGATCATCACTTATTACATTCGTTGGCCTTTCCACCAATTACACCAGTGTATTTAAACTGGTGAAGGATATTCTTGTACCCTAAAATATAGTGGTTTTATGTTCTCCACCACTAGTAAATCCTTTGTTCATGTGATTGGAATGTTAATGTTAACAAACGCATTTTGTGTTACTTCTCTTGACATGAAAACAATTGAAGGAAAAATCATAGTATTTTTTTTCTTTACACTAATTTTACTATGAAAAAGTAAAAAATATTACATTTTTAAAGTACTTGTTTTTTAGGTGTCTAAAACCCTGGATCAATAGCCTAAATTAATTTATTACCAACCATTAAAAATTAATATTATTAAGATTAACCATTTAAAAACTAAAGAGACAGCTCAATTATAGGCAGAACACAGTGAGAACTGATTCCACCTCTCTTTTTATAAAGCATTTTTTTGCACTAACTAACTTACCAACAGTGCATAAACATCATCTTTATCACAAAACCTCATATTCGTAAATGCTAGTCATTATTGGTGGTGAGATTGTGGATTGATAATCTATAAAACTCCATTCACCTACACCATCTTTTGTTCTACAGATGGATGCTGAGAGCATGATGATGTCCCGTATCAGTATCCAGGCAAGGAAGGAGTTGATCCGTCCACTGTCACGCAAGGACATCTTCTACTCCGGCTCTGTGATGAACCTACCCGAGTATCAGAGTCAGCGGTCGCTCGCTGGTTACCGTCAGAGTGTGCTGTCTCTGCCTCAATACAGCACCAACCGAGTCAATGATGTTGAGAGAGGCCAATGTAAGTTGTACTTTGGGAGAATCTATAGGTCAACATTAGAATTTCATGTAAAAGTTGAAGAGTTTGAAGATAATTTAATGGATGTCGACATTGATGATTTTTAAATATTCGTCCACCAAATTGGCGATTTGTTTGGGAAATGTAAAAATAAACAATCTGCTACACTCTTTATGTATTTATATTTATTTTGTGTGTTTTCTTTTCAATAAATTTTTTTTACCTTTTGATAGGGAACGGTCGAAACTCTGGTTTTGTTACCATCTAACATTGACCTATTCTTTAGATAGCATCATTACTCATTAGTTCATAGCCCATTGACGATTCCTGGGTCTCTTGCTTAGAATCAAGCCAGCAACTCTTGATATCTTGATATCTCACATTGTCCTTCTTGTTGAGCACCACTAGCCAATCAAGTATAGAGGATCCACATGTTAATTATAAAACAAGGGAAACAAAAGACTGATTGAATAAAAAAGCACTGTGAAATAACAAACATTATAATAATTGCTGCAGACAAACCATTCATGGTTTTGTAGCTAAATTTTATTAGCTTGTAAGTTTGTTAGGTTAGGTTAGGTTAGGTTAGGTGCGCGCTGTAACCACTAGACAAGCCGATACATTTTGTGGACAAAAGAAGACATAATCTCGTTTGGAAATCCAATAAAATATCAACCATAAAAATGTTTAAAATTATTCATGTGCTTTGGTTTTTGTTTTGCCAGCGGACCTTTGCCCGTGCCTGACGATGCCAGACTCCGTCAAGTCAGTGTTACAGTCTATGCTGGACTACAGCTTGCTCAAGAACCCAGTGTTTCTATTGATAGGAATCAGCAATGTCTTCGGCATGGCTGGCCTCTACGTTCCTTTTGTCTACCTGGTCGACACAGCTATTAAGGAAGGGGTTAGTAATTTTATATGTTTGCTTTATGAATCTTAAATTACTGTTTATTTTGGGATTGTTTGGCCACAACTCTAAAAAAAGTATTGACAAAACTTAAATGTTGGTAATGCTAAATTATTAGGGGAATATATCTAGGTCTCAAGCATAAATCCTGATTGGGTACAATATCCTGTCCATAAGTTTAAACTAATCTTTGTTCTAATTCATTGCTCATAATATTTCCTCCACACATATAAATGTTTGACAAACATGGTATTCAGGAGGTGATTGCATTGGTTAACTAGTTGTAAGGCTTACCAACTTTCAAATGTTTTTTTTTATTATATCATCTCTTGAAGACTAAAAAATTCATCTCCGTTCTAATTGTAGAGACCTACCATGGAGAATTGGCTGTCAGGTCAATGCGGTTGGAACTAGAAACCAAGGTTCAAAGTAAATAATTGAGTTGATAGGATCTTTCTAAACAGTATAAGCCTATGGAATTTCCTAACCCTTCTTTCTTGGTGCTACGATTTGGGATATTAATTGAGATTTCCTTTACTATCCTGTCATGTACCACATTCTGAAGTGTTTGTCAATTGTTTCAGGGTATAGAGGAGCAGAAAGCATCGTTCCTGCTTAGTATCATCGGCATTACCAACACTGTAGGTCGTGTCTTCTGCGGCTGGGTGGCTGACTTTCCCTGGGTCAATTCTCTTCTCCTTAACAACTTGAGTCTTGTTGTTACCACCATTGCTGTCTTCTGCTTTCCTCTCTGCACCACCTACACCCAGTATGTGATTGTCTCCGTTGTCTTTGGCCTCTCGATATGTGAGTTACTTGTTTTTTAATTTCTTGTTTAAGAAAAATATTGAACACTCTAACTGTTTCTCCTTACTTAGTAGCACTGTATTGTGATATTAATTTGCTTATCTTGGATGATCTGATTCATCCTATGTTTGGATACCCACAACTCCACTATTGGGTAAGGCAATAAAGTTGACCTTGTGTGAAAGACAATTTCTAAGGCCCGCTCAGAATTCATATAACAAAAAAATTATCATTTCCAACTCAATTTTTCAAACTTAAGTATTTAACATTAACTTTCATTCAAACATTGAATAAAGCCTTAAAATTTATCAAAGATACTGATACAGTGTCGGGGACCAGAGATATCATCTACATTGGCTTATAAGGCATCCCTACCGGGCAGTGAGTTCGCCATCCCTTTTGCCTATGCATTACTGATACGTTGATACTTAATGTGATTTTAATAAAACACCCCTTAATTGTTATTTTAATTTAACCCTTAGAGTTCTAGGCCAATAATTTGTATTTTGTAAGACTTTTTTGGTTTACCTTTTGAACTAGGGCTAGTCGGACTTGTAGGGCTTTAATAATCAAAAGACACATCTTGGTTGCTCGACATCTTGGTATATTCTGAGCAAGAGCCATCGGCCCAACGCATGGAGTAATACATAAAATAATAAGAAACTTGCAAGTCAGAGTTGATCATGTACTATATAAAAACATTAATACATCTCCCTTCTTTTGAAAACAAAATTAATATGTTGATTTTACATACAAAAATAAAACTTCACTTGATAATACAAATAAAACATGTCAGATCAAATTAAATGAAAATTTTTACTTAGGGCCTAATAAAACTGATGTCTTACAATTAACATTTTAGACAGAGACAAACATTATTGAGAAAATAGATTGAAAATAAACTTCACTTTTCAAAACTTAAAACTAATAACTGAATAGCCTACTTTAGATTTCTTAGGCAGAATAAAATTTAAACAGGAAATATAAAACTTAAATAACAAAAATAAAAACTTCAACCTTACAAATTAAGTTTTTTGAGAGGCTTGACAATCCTACCTGATCTTGTTTTCCAATGAACATCTTCTAAGCCAGCAGGATTAGGGTTTAGGCTAGCAGGGTTAGGGTTAGGTTTGATAGGACTAGGCTGCCTCACGGGACTCAGAAGTTTAGTAGGACTAGCTGGCTTTACAGGACTACGAGGATTCACAGGACTATTTGGTTTCGAAAGACTCAAATGTTTGGTTGGAATAGGCTCAGAGTTTGAACTACCTAGATTTTTAGAATGTTTTAACACTACAGCAGGTCTAACATGTGAAGAGGTTAACCTAACGTTTTGATTGTAAGAAGCGTGTAAAAACAATGGCTTAACGTGAATTCTATTTCTTACATACAATCTGCCAGAACATTTGAGAACATACGATCGGTTACTTCCAGGTTTATAGCCTACAACTGTACACTCAATCCATTTATCATCCTTCAATTTCATTACGGCAGTTTCACCTAATGCTAACCTACTTAAAGGCCTAGCCTTTTTGTCAAAATAACGTTTCTAGATACTTTGTCTATCTAGAAGATGATTCCTAACATCCTTACACACTTTAGGCTTTAAAACATCTTCAGTACAGGGTAAAATACCTCTTAGTTTACGGTTATACAATATTTCACCAGGCGAGGGAATCTTATCTGAAATAGGAGTATTCCTGTACTCTAGCATAGTTAAAAACAAATCCTTTTTATCATGAACAGCTTTAATTAACATTTTCTTTAACGTCTGAACTACTCGCTGTACCATTCCATTTGCTTGTGAATGCAATGGAGAAGAAGTTGTGTGAGTAAAACCCCAAGTTTTAGAAAAATCCTGAAATACGCTAGCTGTGAATGGCGTGCCGCCATCTGAAAATGCAATTTTTGGAATCCTATGTCTACTAAAGGTTGATTTTAACTTACTAATCACTGTGAGTGATTTCATGTTTGATTGGGAGAACACTTCAGTGTACTTAGAATAAAAATCTATGACAATCATGTAGGACGGACCCTTAATGTCTGAAAAATCAATACCAATTTTTTCCCAAGGGAGGAAAGGGACAGAGTGTGGTTTCAAAGGTTCCTTACGATTGTTGTTAGAATGCAAAATACAAGTTTCACAGGAAAGAACCGTGTTTTCAATTTGAGTGTACATACCTGGCCAAAAAATCATTCCTTTAGCCTCAAAATAGTTTTGTTTACACCACAGTGTGTATACTGTAGCCATAGATAAAACATACTCGCTTAGTAGATTTCTCATCCTTATGGAACAGCTGAAGACAATTTTATTGTTAGTTCTGTACGGTTTATGTAGAGGTCGTGTTTTGTTTACAATTTGTTTCCCGTTGTTACAGCCATTTAAAACCTCGTTTAACCAAGTAATACGATCTAATCATAAACAATAACTTGTCCCCTAGTTATATAACCAAACAGTAAAGCACAAATCAAGAAATTAACCCTAAAATAATAGAAGTTTCGTCGACACTAGCGCCCAGTGTCACCGTACATGAACTAGACACAAAAAACGTTCTTCAAAATTTACAATGGGATGAGAAGTCTACTTGTGTTGGTTAGTTTAGCCTAGCTAACATTTCTTGTCTCATACATTTGGGAATGACAATAGCTGTACCTCTTAAGATTAAATTCTCACAGAGACAATTCATCTTTCAAACACCAATAATGTCTTATAATTTCTGGAGTTTATTTCTTGTGCATAGGCCATCCTTTAAGAATGAAATGTTTAAGCAATTTTAACTCATCGTCAGTATCAGTTAATTCAGTTAGCTTAGACAATTGTTCATCACTTACACTAAGATTATCAACTATGGCACATACCTGAGCATCAATATCATCGGTAATTAAATTTAAGTCATCAGAACTATTTTAACAGGCCCTTGATAAGGTATCAGCAATGTGAAGATCTTTACCTCTTTTGTACACTAACTTAAAATTAAAATTGTACCTCTGCAATCTTAACAACATTCTTTGAAGATGAGGTGGACACAGCTCAAAACTCTTTTTTACAATGCTTATCAAAGGCTTGTGATCTGACACTACAACAAAAGATTGCAAACCAAACACATATTGATGAAAACACTCACAACCATACACAACAGCAAGAAGTTCTTTCTCAATTTGAGAATAATGTTTTTGAGTGTCGTTAAGCGACTTACTTGCATAAGCTACAGGCAAACAATTCTGTAAAAGTACAGCACCAAGACCATCTTTACTACTATCAACCGATAGAACAACTGGTTTCTCTGAATCAAAAAAACAGGAGGCTTTATTAGTTGCTGATTCAAATTACTAAAAGCTTCATCATGAACTTTTGACCAACTAAATTCAATATTCTTTTTCAATAACTCTCGCAAAAGCGCAGTATGCTGAGACAAGTTTTTTACAAACTTACCAATGTAATTTACTAGGCCTAAAAACCTCTATAGAGATTTTTTTGTCTTTGGGGACTTCCATTTCACTAATTGCTTTTATTTTACTTACATCAGGTGTTATGCCTTTACCAGAAATCTTATGGCCTAAATACTTGAGCTCACTGATAGAAATTTTACATTTTGATTTATTCAACTTTATGTCTGATCTTAACCTAAGGAACAACTTTTTGAGCCTTGTATCATGCTCAGCGTGGTCTTTACCCCAACAAATTATGTCATCTATATATACAGATACACCTTCTAGGTCTTCCAAGAGATGAGACATTTTCTCTTGAAAAATTTCACTGCTTGAAATCAAGCCATATACAAGTCTTAAAAAGCGGTAGTGCCCAAAAGGAGTATTAAATGTACAAACTTTAGAACTTTTCTCACTAAGCTTTATGTGGTAAAAAAAACCATTCTTTGTATCAAGCATACTGAAAACAGTAGCACCAGAAAGTTTACTAACAATCTCGTCAAAGGTTGGAATGTGAAAAGGTTGTCTAACAATTACTTCATTTAAATCTTTAGGATCGATACATAACCTAATATCGCCATCTTTCTTACTTACAATAACAATTGAATTTACCCACTCCGATACCTCAGAACTACATACCTTTTTAACAATGCCTAGTTTTTCTAATTCCATCAATTTAAGTTTCAACTTAGGCTTAAGTGCAAAAGGCACTTTTCTAGGTGAATGAACAACTGGATTGGCATCTGGTTTCATGTAAATATTATGATTACCTTTAATGCAGCAAACACCTGTAAAAATGTCACTAAAACTTTCCAGTAGGTTGTCACTTCGAGATTCATTAATCTTCTTGATGAGATTGAGCGCAACGCTTGAGCTTGAACCAAGAATACACGGCGACGTGGTCCTAACCACATAAAAGTCTAGCCTATGCTTAGGCGCATCTTCATTTAATGCCACTTGCAAGGTACACTTGCCAAGTACATCCAGGTTTTGACCTGAATAAGAGGTTAACCTTGTCACAGTTTTAACAAGATTATTCCTGTCAATTTCTAGCAAACTGAAAGTATCACGTTGGCTTGAGCGCCAACGCTATCAATTTTAAGCATCACTGGCAAGTAGTCGTCAATAAGTAGGCGAACCGTCCAGTCTTTACACTCACTCATTTGTGACTCGACACTACCTAAAAATAGTTCCTGACTATCCTCTGGTACGTCTAAGTCATTACTGTCAGCAACAGCATCATCGGAATTTCGAGACGGACTGTCTTAAATGACACTGACTTGCAAAATGATTTAATTTATTGCATTTCAGACAAGTTTTGCCCCTCGCTGGACAATGATCACCTTTGTGTGCGTAACCGCAGCTAAACGTAGCTATTACCGTAGGTCTCATGGTAAGACTTAGGCCCGGGACCGATTTACTTTTTCATTTTGATGTCCCCAGAGGCCAAAAACACCACTTGTTCAAATTTTTATATATGTATAAATATATATATATATATGTGTCCGTGAACACGATAACTTGAGTAATTTTTATCCGATTTTGATGAAATTTGGTTTGAAGGTGTAAGGCGGGATAAACTTGAATGAGTTCGCGATCCAGCATGATCGGACCATGGGAACAGGGTTTTATGGGGGGTTTTATGTGGTAAAAATTGGTTTTTCTCACTTTTGACCCTCAAAACACAAAATTTCCCAATTTTTCTCTAAACCTTCTTAAAAAGCTTAAAAAAACAAACAATTCAGTATATCAAAGTGTTTTTGTACGGTTATTGGTTACGGAGAAAACTAAAAAAATGGAAAATTTAAAATTCCCATGTTATTCTTATGGAGAATATTGTAAAATGTTGTAGTTTGCTTGTTTATGGATATCTTTTGATCAAACATGGCAAATATATTCATTTTATACTAAGCAATAATTATTTTACTTAAAACACACACTTTATTAGTTTCCTTGTAGCAGCAAACCTAGGTACTCGTTAAACCTAATGTTATTTAAATAGATCAATTGAAAATCAATTCAGCCAAATGGAAATTCGCTTAGGCGTCAGGTTTGCTGCGGCGGGGGTATTTACTTTTAGGCTTTCCAAACCTATCATGTTGAAAAGAATTAGGCTTACTGAAGGTAGGCCTATTAGATTTAGGAACCTGCGAAATAGGTTTCCGCTTAGCAGAGTTTGCAGTTTGGTGTTGAGGCGTACCTCTTCTGTCCACACAGATACGGTCCAAATCGGCAGACCCACTCACCCCACTGGTACTGCAATTACCCTCTAGCTGTGTCTTGGTGATTTCTGCAGTCCTACATATGTCTAGGGCCTTAGAAAGGTCTAAATCTTTAGTTCTTAAAAGGCGATCTTTAATGGCAAGATCTTTAATACCTAAAATGACACGGTCTCTAATCAAACTATCTGTTAGATCACCAAAATTGCAAGTTGAGCTTAAGTCCATAAGCTCGGTAACATAACTGTCTATTTTCTCGTCAGGTTTCTGTTCTCTGAGAAAAAATTTAGTCTCTCATATGTGACATTCTTTTCTGGCATGAAATAGTCATCAAACTTTTTCATTACTTTGTCAAGTTTGTACTTGTCACCATCGGTTTCAAACACAAAATTATTGTATATTTTTAGAGCCCTATCTCCGACTATTGCACAGAAATTAGTAATTTAGATCAGCACAATCTGTCGGTGGCTCACATCATCTGCGATGATTTTGATAACAAATCTGGCTAAAAATTTAACATGGGGATAGAATGCCTAGATGCAGGTCACCAATGGCCGTTTTGCTATATTTTTTTTAAATAAGTAATTTTTAACTACTTCCTCTCTATATCCTTTGGATATTTATAACAACGATATATCGTTGCATAGCACTCAAAGGGTTAATAAACTTATGTTTTTGTTGACAGCTGCTTATATCTCCCTTACGTCCATCATCCTCGTGGACTTGCTGGGGTTGGACAAGCTGACCAACGCCTTCGGTTTGTTGATCCTGTTCCGTGGAGCGGCAGCTATCGTAGGGTCGCCTGTGGCCGGTATGATCTACGACGCAACGCTTTCTTACATGTACCCATTCTTCATGGCTTCTGGATTTTTCCTGTTGGCGACAATCGCGTCGTTTGTCGCTCCGCTGCTCAAGAGCTGCGTGCCACAGGAGGAGCCACCGGTCATCTTAGACGCGCTCACACCCATAGATGAAGACGAGGAGGAGGAGGGTGAGGGCGATGAAGATCACAACATCCCTGAGATCGTAGAGACTGCGCCGAGCCCCGTGGGTGGACAGCCATCCAAGCCTACCATTGAGATCAAACAAATCGAGTCTGTCTTGTAGAATGTATGTTTCTGTTGTGGGAGCTTTTTCCCCCTTTTTACTTCGGATGATCCAACTAGAGGTCACCTCCTCTAAATTGTTTTTACAATCAACAGGAAATATCATTTAGGCGCTCAATCTTGCTTTTTAAAGATAAAGTGGTACATTTGAAAAAATTTATGTATTTATTTTCTTGTATCGAATACTTTTTACACCTTGAATATTAGTTGTTTCATTCATTATCAATTTGCTAAAAGCAATGTTTGAATCGAAAATCAACTAGCAAGATAGGTAAGCTGTCCCTATTGGTTCATGTTATTCTGTAATAGCATTTCTATATGTTTTAAATATTAGTTATTCTTACGTATTGAGTAAAGTGTCTAACACTAATAAATAGTTTACTACCTCCATTATAGTTAAACTACCTTAACTACAAAATTTGTTTATTAACTAGTCCCGTTATGTAATTATTAGTATTTTATATTTTTATTTATGTTCTCATTACTTGAATAATGTTAGGTCTGTTTTTAGGCCGTTCAGGGTTAATCGTGTGTATATTATACATTTTAGTTTTCATATCAAATTTAGAGTTAAGGCATGACAAATTACTTTATATGAAACATTAGGCCATGTATTTGTTCACCTCTATTATTAAGACTGTCACAAATACAAATAAGTTAACCTTACTTTAAGTAGAGCATAACATTTGTCGATTGATCAGTACGCCATAATAATGTGGATCGTTTATTTGGATTGTGATTGTGCGAGAACAAGTTCTGTAGTAAAGATACTTGAAGCACACCTGAACTTGACTATCTGTGATAATCTAATGTCAGCAACTTCTTCTTGTCAGGCTGAAGCTCGCCTTTAATTAATGCTCACTTAAAAATTGTGTAACTTGAAAATTATTATGTAGTATTTTTCAAATTGCCTTAATGGAACGTTTTGAGAATGTAAGTAAAGTGTCAACCATATTTTTCATGGTATGAAATACGTTAAGGTATCGCATGAATTTAGTGTGATAAGATCACTTTAATGTAGAGATAAACTCTATTTTAAACATATATTTTATTGAATTTCCAAATTCAAACTATATTACTAACCTGACAAGTGAAGGAGCTGGATGAAATGTATGTATGGTTGGAAGGCTACTAGTTAATTGCTGTGTACATTGAATGTTGTCTTTGAACACAAGACTCATCAATTTGAGTTCGTCCAAAAGCAGAAGCGTTAATTTTGTGGTTTTTTTTGGTGTGCAAAAGTGAGTGTGAAGGTGCCATCGAACTATTAAAACAATTTATGAAAATGTGTATCTATGTGTTTAGTGATAACATTTTTATGACAATAATTTTATTTTGTTTTGAATTACTCTATGTAAATTTTACAGTGTTTGTGTTAGCACAAATAGTTATCGTTTACATATTAGATGTACCTTATCTTTTAGCTTTATTTATTGTATTATCTTAACTGGTGTTTGAGACATTTTCTCTTCCATTGTCAAAGATTTGTTTTAATAATAATTTTTTTACTGAGTTTAAAATTTTACTATTGAATAAATTGGGCCAAGCGAGTTAATGAAGAGATTTTTGTATAAATATTTTTCTAGCAATTCAGCTTTCTACCGAGCAAGGTTAGTTGAACAAAAGCCTGCAAAGCTTGAACAATTTTTGCATCACTGAGTAGAGTAAGAATGTTTAGTAAATTTATATTTTAATGTGAACTTGTACAAGTCTCCAGTTACCATAGATATTTTAACCGCTGAATGTTGCCATAGATTTACTATTTGGACCTGTTTTACTATATCCAGTTAGCGAGGGATAATTATAAAAATACCTACGCAAAATGTTGCTGGCTTTTAGCTATGAAAATGTCCTAACGGTATATTTTCCGATTCCCCGTAATTTTTATAAGATATAACCATTTGAGGTCCTAATCACTTGTAGCCTTAGAGAATTTAAAACAATTAAAGCTGTTGTTGTTGAAAATTGTAAATACTTGGCAGTTGAGCTTTGATCTCATAAACCAAATTGATTTAAAACTAAGATAGGAGGAATATTTCTTGACCGCTGAATTTACTGATTCTTAATAATTCTTGTATATAGTTAACGAGATGTACATTATTCCTAATGTAAGTACTTAGCGTAAGGTTGGCTCCAGCTCGTGTATATAAGCCAGTGTACAAATATGTAAAGGGAAGCTGAATTAAGAATGTCTGCTTCTCTTATTTTTATTACTGTTGTTGTATTGATGTCTAAGGATGCATTTGACTTTGAATTTTTGAACTCTAATGCTTCATGCTGAAGTAGTTGGGTTTTGTGGAGTTCACTAATTCACAGGCCAATAGAAGCGATTCATCAGGGTTTAGAGTCGAAAACATTCAATTCTAGATATTATTTATCTACAAAATTTATGGCAATAAGATTGTGTAGGTGTCTAAAATTAAAACAACTAGAGTTTAAAGTGTTCATATTTCTTTAAAACACAAACATATTCAAACCATATCCTTCTCCTATTTTCTCTTCTTGCAATTAAATATCTATTAATGTCGATGAACCATTTTAACAAACTTTTTAGTAAGGTTTTAATCATCTTAATATATAAAAGGCAAAGCCCTCACTGACTGACTGACTGACTGACTCACTCACTCATCACTAATTCTCCCACTTCCCATTTACCTAGGAGGCTGAAATTCGGTACACCGATTCTTTGGGCATTAAATAGGAAAACTAAGTAGTTTTTATTCTGATCGGAGTTTCGGGCTCCGCCCCAGTGGCTCTGGAGTTTCCCATGTTAACCTTATGATTTTCATATTTAAAAGGAATTTCTTAACAGCTGTTTCAATTAAACAAGTTGGTTCTGTTCTATGATGTTCAATAGCATTAAAGTTACAAGGATTACCAACAGGGTGCAGCACTATTATTTTTTTAAATTTATGACTACAGTCAATTTGCAACCAAAAGGTGAGTGAGCGTAGCGAACGAACTTCAACCTGGAAGCGAGTGAGCGTAGCGAACGAGCTAACCTGAAGGTAAGTGAGCGAAGCGAACGAGCTCCAACCTAAAGGTGAGTGAGCGTAGCGAACGAACATCAACCAGGACGTGATTGAGCCATGCGAACGAGCAGCTCACTTGTGAAGTTGAACGGGGCAAAGCCCGCGGGTACAGCTAGTCTATATATAAAATAGGCAAGCACGGTTTTTGTCAGCAGAATGAGTTCCCATGTTATCATTGTTTGTTTACATTATGATCAGCTGGATAATTTAATTGCTGTTAAAATTTTAAATTGCTATTGAATCTAGATGTGTACATATTATAATGGAAAAAGCTGAGAAAGTGTGGGCAATTTTATATATTTCACAAAATAAGAAAACTGAATTGACACAGTACTGTATTTCTTGAGCAATCATTAAAAGAACCGATTTGCAGATTATGGAAATATAGAAAAGTCATAGAACGCCACCAAGTAGAAGAAATAGAGATAATTTTTTATTCAGAATTTTACTATCGTTATTAGTCTAAATAATGAAGAACATTAGTTCCTACAAACGGTGAACAAGAATGTTAGCCGAAGTGCTACAATTTCTAGAAGGAAACATGGACTTTGTAATATTTGCAGAGGAAACCCATCTATGGCGAAATAAAACTGGTACTGTACTCAAGGACATTTAATCTTTGTTTCCAAGTGATTTGAGAAGAATAGGACTACATCCAAGAAACCTTTACTAAAACTTTCATTGAAGAATTCACTTATAAAAAATAAAAATAAACACCTGAACAACATCAGGACTTTTAACTCTGCATTTTTACAGGTAAATATAATTGACGTCATTACATCAACTAGCCAAAAGAATTAATGCTATTTGAAGCAAATGAAATTGTGACAGACAGATTATGCTGGAAATCGGGTTGAGAAGGGTAAATGTGAAAAATTTTTATCGCTATTAAAAATTACAGAATTTTGTAAACATTTTGGCTACACATGCAGGCTACTTTATCAATGATGAAGATAAACATGGATAACTTTAGGCAGCTATGGGTACGTCGATCCATTTGTAGAAAAATCACTAAAAAACATGGCCAGCTTCTGAAAAATGATAGATATTTTCAAGAAATTTTGATTATATCGGATTGTTATGAACAATTGACAATTGCTCGATTTAAAGCTACAGGTACACTAGTTTGTGTAAAAAGCAAACATAAAATGTACAACCTTGTCACACAATTTATATTATTTCTCCTTCTGGAACATAGCTATTGCTGTTGCCTTCATGGTAAGACCCAGGACTCTTCATTGAAAGTTATCAGAAGCCAAAACCCCCATTTATTTAAATCTTTATGTTCCCATATGCAACACAAGTAAAAGATATCACAGCAATATCATTGAGATCGTTTTCGGCAAGATAACATAATTAATTATATACTAGTAGTACGCTTATTTGAGCGCAACAATGGGTGAGTCCACCTGCACTTACCGGTGTCACAGGTGAACACAATTTATTTGTATGGGCAAATCCACCAAATCTTGGCGAACAACAATCATAACTTCTTGTCAATTAATTAAACAAAGTAATTGGAAAAATTTGTGGTGATTTCCAACAATTATCAATAGGACAAATCCATCGCTTCTATTCACTTGAATGATGAGCACGGGTCAACCCAGCTTTAAACGATTTTAATCTGAAACCTACTAAGATTTGAATCATTTGAAAGAAAAGAAACGTATTAAAAATCTTAAATGATTGATTCAAAACAAATCGAAATTTTCTTTATTCATTATGTACACATAGAGTACAGAATGGCGTCAACAAGTACTATTATAAACTAGTAAGTACAAGTATATATCATACAATAATAAATTAAAATTATAAATCACTGTAAGAAATTAAATTAACTGTTACAGACGACATATGCTCGAAAAAATTCATTACAACTGTACAAAGGTTTAACAATAATAAATTACTTCAATCTCTTTTTGAAGGACCCAAAATCAGTTATACATTTTATGTTGTCTGGTAATGAATTATAAAATTTTATGCCTGAATATGTTGGCTTCTTCTCATAAAACGTTAGCTTATGTCTATTAAAACCAAAAATTATTCTTATTTCTAGTTTCATATCAGAAACTAGAAATAAGAATAATGCAGCTTCATTATTCTCATTATTTCAATAGGCAGAATGTCATTCGCCTATTGGGTCCGATGATGAAGTGTCCAATCGAAATCAATCACCACTTACCATCTTTTTTGTATATTTACCGTCTTGTGAGTAACAGTATAAGCGTAAATATATGTTTTAAGTGTTATAAGACGTTTCTTTTATTTACTTTCCGTAAATTTAATAACGCATACAATGCTGATCAAGAAGTTATTTAACTTATGATTTCAAAATTAGGGCCATTTAATTTTTTTTTTTAATATACCTATTACCTTTGACTATTAATACTATTACTAAATTATGGCTGGTTTTATGAAAAAATTTCAGGAACACTCTTATTTTGCATTTTAAATTCCCTATTAAACGATACCAAGTTAAAAAAAAACTCTTTAAAAAATAACTAAAATATCATCAGCTCAAAATATCATCATAAGGCAAACCTGACTAAGCCTGGTTCTCATTTTACAACTAAAAAACGCTGATATTTCAGTTATGTTTTTATCGTTAATGCTAAATAAAAGTGTTCTCGACTTTTTTTTGTAAAATCCGCCATATTTTAGTAATTTAGGTTTGAAAAATTTAAATGGCAGCTATTTTTAATTTTCTATTAAACGATACCAAGTTCGACAAGAACAATTAAAAAAAAAACTTCAATATCAGGGTTTTTAGTTGTAAAATAGAGTAGAATAAGGCTAAGCTAGAAACAGTAAGGTTTGCTTCATTTTATAACTAAAAATCATGATACAAAATGCTAAATACGAGTGTTTTTGACATTTTTTCATAAAACCAGCCATGTTTTAGTAATTTATTTAAAACTTCCTTATTTCTTCATAAATAATGAGGTGTCATTTTAAAGTTTTTTTTTACCTACTACACGGGATAAAATATACAAATCCTCCTTTTTTCAGTAGTTTTTTGTAAAAACGATCTATTACCGTATATAATTTTGAAAGTGATTTAGACTTGAAATGTCTATTTAAGTTATTCGATCAATTGAAACATGTGAATTTAATTAATCAAAAGAAACAAATCCTTATTTCTCAAATTTCAGGGTGTTTTGTTTTTACTGTACTTCATCCATGACGTAAAAATAACAAACAAACTTGGTGTGTGCTTTCTACGATAAATAACCCAGAAACTGAAATCATATTATTCATTTTAAAGAAGTCTAAACAAGAACATCTCAAAAGTAAGTATCACATAGATTCTTTAGCTTTTATATTTCTTTATTTACAACATAGTCTTAATTTTGACATACCTACTGACCTATGTATATTTAAGAATTCCATCTTCAAACATCACCTCTTATCTTTTCTTTAATACAGGTTTCAATTGTTATGTTGTGTCGAATTTGTTACTGACAGGAAACGGTTTTATAAGTTTTGGTTCGATTTACTTAAGCCCTTTAGGTTTGTTAACTCATAAACCCATGCTAAAAAGAACTCTATTATCATGTTGATGAGAAACCTAAGCATGGTCCAAGATTGGTTGTCGCTCACTTGGGCACCTACACTATCAAAGCGAAGTTGGCTGACTCCGGTCAAACTGTCATACTACGCAATAGTCCGCAATCCTTTCTTATCGAATGTTTCAAAATATATTTTTTTCATTTTCTTCATCTTTATTGATAATGCAGTAATTTATGTAAACACAGCCCATATTGAAAAGTTGTATCAGTCCAAGTTTTGTGATGAAGTTTTTGAATTTATTGAATATGTTACTCTTATACCTAAATACTACACTCTCCCCACCTGCACATTTGAGTTTGGGAAACTGAGTAAACTATTCAACCATTGTGTGTGTGTGTGTGTTGGACTTGCCAACAGTTGGTGCATACAGCAGGATTATCATAACGCAGGTGGATGGACAAAAAGTTGCTTATTAAAAGTTCTATTCTACTTTCTACAATTGTAAACCACAGCATCTTTTATGTCACACCCTATCTTTTGTATAACCTATCGCATCAACAAATATAAGGCTTCGGGTATGATATTGTTATAAAATACTATTGTTACAAGTTAAATAGAATGAAATGAAAAGAATACTTTACTGGAAGAAACTTTTATGATGTACTAAATTGGTCAAACTTATTTACAGAATAATTAATGAACAACAGAAAACCATATGTAAAACAAAAACATTTGAATTCTCATAAGGAAGTCAAAGAGTACTAAATATAATAAACATAGTCCAATAGTTATTATATGCAACACTCCCCCTACTCAAGGCTTCCTTAGAGACTTCATGGGAACGTTAAGCCAGTCCAATTTTCTGTCTTAAAACCTTCAACCTTGGTCCAAGAAGAGGTTTTGTAAACAAATCAGCTAGTTGTTCACTTGTGTCAATTTTCTTCACTTCCAGGTTTCCTGCTGTCACTTGTTCTCGAATGAAAAAGTGTTTTATTTCAATGTGTTTGGTTCTTCTGTGATGCTCTGGATTCTGTGCTAGACATATAGCAGCTTCATTGTCTACGAAGATCACAGGTGTACTTTTAAGTTCAGTTAATGAGCTTAGTAATCGCTTTAACCAAATTGCATCCCTGGCCGCCTCACTCGCAGCTACTATCTCTGCTCCCGTAGTGGAAAGTTGAACAGAAGGCTGTCGTTGGCTGATCCATGATATCGCTCCACCTGCGTACAGAGTCAGTAGTCCTGTTGTCGATCTCCTGGTTTCATGGTCACCACCAAAGTCTGAATCACTGTAGCAATTAAGAACGCCACTTCCAATGTGCTTCTTGTACACGATTCCACAATCTTTAGTACCCTGAAGATATCTGAGTATTCTCTTCACTCGACACCAATCATTTATTGTAGGATTTTCTAGGCTTCTGGAGACGACACTCACTGCGTACGCTATGTCCGGTCTGGTACTAACCATGAGGTACATAAGAGCTCCGACAGCTTCTCGATACGGAAAAGACGTCTCATCTGTTCTTTTGTCTTCCTGTTCAGATTTTACTATAGGTGTTGGTGCTGATCTGCAGTTTTCCATGTTGAATCTTTCCAAAATTCTTGAAACATATCCTCCTTGACTTAATTTGATATTTTCACCAGATTTGGAAATCTCCAATCCTAAAAAATAATTGCTGGTTTTGACTTGATTTTAAATTCTTTTTTCAATTCTACTAGGAATGAATTTAAGTCTTCATCATGAGTTGAAGCTATGAGTCCATCATCAACATATAGAACAACGATTAACTTATGTCCATTGTTGTTACGGATAAAAAGACATGGATCATCATCACTCTTTTTCAGTCCCAGTTTTGTTAGGACCATTCCAACTCTCTCGTTCCAGCATCTTGGTGCTTGTTTCAAACCATACAAACTTCTATTAAGCTTGCAGACGTGATTACTGTTATCACTGAATCCTTCTGGTTGATGCATATAAATTTCTTCATTTATTTTGCCGTACAAAAAGGCAGTAGACACATCAAATTGTGTGAGTTTCATTCCTTCATTAGCAGCTACTGCGATAACACTTCTGATTGTTGGCATTTTTGCTACTGGACTAAAGGTTTGATTATAATCAATTCCTTTCTTCTGTGCAAATCCTTTCACTACTAGACGGGCTTTGTATCTCTCTATGGATCCATCCGCATTTGTTTTTACTTTGTATACCCATTTACAAGGTATGGCTTTGTGACCTTTGGGTAGTTCAGTAAGTGTCCACACTTCATTCATGTGAAGTGAGTTAATCTCATCTTCCATTGCTTTTTGCCATTGGAGATGATCTTCACAGTTCGATGCCTCCATGTATGTATTAGGTTCATAGTGTGTGTTCCCCATAACAGCACTCATCACAAAATCTTCAAAACGAATGGGCTGCCTTACCATAGCTCTATCTCGGAGTTGGCGAGTTTGCACAACGTTTTCTTCCTGTTGTTCTGCTTCCTCGTCTGTCAATTTATCTTCTTCCGATTCATCTTCAGGAAAGAGAATGGGGACATTTTCTACTACAGGGGCTGAACAGTTCTCATCTTTTGCTTCATCGGGGACTTTTTCTTCTGAAGATATAGGCCTATTTACTATGGATTCACTAATAGGCTCTTTCAAAAATTTTACATCCCTGGACCGAATGACAGTACATTTCCATGAATTCCAGAGACGATATCCATCATTACCATCATATCCAATAAGTTTGCATTTCATCGCTTTCTTGTCAAACTTACGTCTTCTCTGCTTTGGAATATGGACAAAACAATCTGTCCCGATAACCCGTAAATGTTTTATCGTAGGTCTTTTTCCAAACCATGATTCATATGGAGTCTTTCCGGCAACTGATGACTTAGCAGTTCTGTTCAAAATATAGGCTGCAGTGTTTATCAATTCAGCCCACAAGCCTTGAGGCAGATCACCGTGAGCATGCATCATTGACCTTGCACATTCAACTATGGTCCGATTTTCTCTCTCTGCAGATCCATTCTGTTGTGGTGTGTATGGCATTGTGATCAACTGTTGTATTCCATTCACTTGAAGGACTTGTCTAATACTTTCGTTGTCGAATTCACCTCCTCCATCACATCTCAACTTACATATTACATGGCCTGTGACTTTGACTTCTGCAAGAAACTGCTTCAGCTTCTCTACAACTTGAGATTTTGTCTTCATAAAATAAACACTGCGGTAGCGAGTAAAGTCATCCTTGAACAATACAAAGTACTTTGAACCTCCAATCGACTCAAAGAAAGGTCCACAAACATCAGAGTGAACGATTTCACCAGGTACTGAAGCTCTGTGTTCATCTCTGCTTCTGAATTGTGTCCTGTGCATTTTCCCATAAGCACATCCTTCACATACCTCATTGTCGAGCTTGAGATTAAGGTTCAGTTCTCTTCTTGCAAACTCTTGTACATGAGTTTTGCTTTGATGTCCTAGTCGTTCATGAAGTAACTGCAACTGATTAACAGCTGGAACTCCTTCCATCATAACAGCCATGAGGTCTACTGATTTTCTTACTGCTAATTTAAACAAGCCTCCGCCTGGACTTCTATGTCCTTTGATGAGTGGTTTACCATTTCTATCAAACAAAGTGCAATCCTTGGATGTCGATACAAATTTACTATTTACATTTAAATCTTGAGCAGCGGTTACTGAAAATAGGTTTGCAAAAATACCAGGTACATACCATACATTGGTTAGCTTTACTGGATTCCAAATACCATCCAAATTTGCTTCCATGATGCAAATTGTTCCTCTACCAATAGCACTTGTCTGTTGTCCATTTGCCATTGTAACTGCATGAGGTAACTCAAATTGTTCAAAGTCAGTAAACATTTCCCTACAATGTGTAACATGGTTGGTAGCACCACTGTCCACGTACCAATCATGTGATACGGCAGTATTCTGGGTTTGAAAAACACAATTGCTTAATATGGTTAGTGCTGCTTGTTTGGATTCTTTTTCCAAGCTTTTCTTTTCAGGTTTTCTTTCAGGTTTTCCATCCGCTATCCATTTCTGACACTCTTGCAACCAATGTCCTTTCTTGTGACAATAGTGGCATGGACACTTTTTCTTTTTATCATTGTTCTTGCTGTTTTTCTGTAGACCTACTAAGTTACCTTTGGCTTCTTTAGATCTATTGACTGCCATTAAAGCTGTATCTTCTTTCTCATTTTCCTTTGAAGTCAGCTTTCTTGCTTCTGTACACAGCCAATTTGTAAGATTGTCAAGGTTTCTCGCTTTATCCTTGTGAATCATTAACCAAGTTGTCTGAAAGTTGGAATATTCTGCTGGTAGGATTTCAAAAATCTTGCAAATCAACAATATCTGAGGTAAACTATCTTCTTTCTTGTCTTGGATTTTCTTAATTTCTTCTTGAAGCTTTACCCATAACGACTTGATTGCAGATAGGTTCCCAGCCATATCCAAGTGTTGATCCCATTTGTAAGTGAAGAACAGAGAGCATATATCATAGGCTTTATTTTCCTCTATTTCCGCAAATAGATTATGCAGCTCCTTCCAAACCTCATCTGGTTTTTCTAGGTTTCTTACCTGAGCTCTTACTTCCTTACTTAATGAAGATGCTAACATAAACATTACTTCTGACTGTGTTTTGTTATACTTATCCATCTTCATTTTGTATTCTTTCATTTCTGCAGCTTGTGTTTCATCTTTAGGTTTCTCTGGCAATTCCATTTTACCAGAAATGGCTTCGTATGCATCTGGGATTCCTTTAAGCCTAATTTGCATGAGATATTTCCAATCATCCCAGTTGTCCTTTCCATGCAGCAATTCCATTTTCTGCATAACGAACTCCATACTAAAGATTTTATCTCAAGCAATAAATTATTCTATTTAAAACCTGTAACACACAATATAAGGTTGTCTGGGCCCATAACCTGTTATAAAATACTATTGTTACAAGTTAAATAGAATGAAATGAAAAGAATACTTTACTGGAAGAAACTTTTATGATGTACTAAATTGGTCAAACTTATTTACAGAATAATTAATGAACAACAGAAAACCATATGTAAAACAAAAACATTTGAATTCTCATAAGGAAGTCAAAGAGTACTAAATATAATAAACATAGTCCAATAGTTATTATATGCAACAGATATGAGCGGTGAGTGGCAAGCGGCGAGCGGCACTTTAAGCGGCGGTGGTGGCTGTAAGATACAAGCGGCACATTTATAACGCTCATCAAATTTCCCCGGCTTTATGAGTCAGTTTAGTCGAAAATTGTGAACTATATGCTTACCTGCAAGACGTATTGCAACTATTGTTGCTATCTGACAATTGTTTGCCTTTAAAAAAAAACCTTAACTCCAAAAAAACTGAAGCATTACTCACCTGAGCGGCGAGCGGCGTTTTCGCGATAATCGGTTTTGACTTGGAACCATGAGCGGTGCCGCTTACCGCCGCTCGCCGCTCAGACGTATTGTAGCCAACCTAGTACATAATTTTAAACTGTAGTACACTCTTTGATTAGCTCATTGAACTAGCATGAGTTCTTTTTTTTAAATAATTGCTAATGTGGGTCCATATAGGTGTGATGTCTACTTTGGTACAGTAACCAAAAGTCAGTGGTTCTACCACGATCACGATCTGAAGAATGTCCCGATCACAACAGCCGCCCCGCCGATGTTATTTATGTTTATGTGTCTGTGTCTACACAACACTGTTATCACTAGTGTGCTGCCTCCAAGCGGTTGCTTCTCGAACCTCCCGCCAATATCACACCTTGGCGGGAACACTCAGTCAGTGGCCGTGGGTCGTAGATCGCGTTAGCGGTGTCTTGTGGCCATCCACTGCCTTCTGAGTGATCTTCGATCTTCGGATATCGAACCCTAAGATAGTTACTGTAAGTAATTAGTAAAACGTGTTTCTAGTTCCCTCCGATTGTCGGACAAAATATTTTACGTTTTATTTTTACCAGCGTATTTTTAGCTTCCACGTGGAACAAGGAACGCACGCGAGTTCCACGTTGTTTAGTTTTTGTTGCCTGTTTTTTGTTTGTTTGTATTACGTATTACTGTGGTTACGTTGAACTTTATGCTTGTTTTTGTTGTGATAACAACCTTTAATGACGCTAAATGCCAAATATCATTTCATGTATATTTTTAGTTTGCAACTAACAAATGTGTATTAGTCTACGAATCTGTTTTTGTTGATTATTGTGTTGCAGTTTGTTTCAATAATTTTCACTTTTTATCACTCACTGTATTAATTACTGTACTCATGTTTACATTTAAATCAATTAAATGTGCTGTTCAATACAAAGCCGCTATTGAATCAATGCATTTCCAACATTCAACCACGCATCAAAATGCATTTGCATTTGACTATTGTAAAATACCGAACTTAAAAAATATATATCAATATATTACAACTCTTTATCAAAATAACTAACACATAAGCTCATTTTGGTTACCCTCCCAAGATACTTGGTGCAGCATATTATAAGAATACCTCTAACTTCCTATTGAAAAGGTTTTAATTCGCTCACAGTCCATTTACAAAATAGACCCATTTTGGAGGAAAGGGATCTAAGGAATTCCAGTTGTAATAATTCACGTCCAGACCCTTTTTTGCTCCAGTTCATTTTGGGCAGATTCCTGTTTTTTCTCCCCGAACACTCGCACAGTCTCTCATTGTGAGGGTCCGGGTCGCTTGCTTGTACAATCGTAAGAGTTTCCATGGTTATAGCTTCTGTATATGAACAATGGTTTCTAGATTTTAAGCTTCCTTATGTCACACATCAAACGAATTTACACGTAAAACGAATAAAAAAGAATAATTTGTTATTGTCGATGAATTGCTTATGTAACATAGGTACTAATTTTGTCTCTTTTACTATTAATGACTAGTTAATGAAATACATAAAAGATAGAAAATGGTAAGGAGTAACAATTTTACTATAAACATACTCTACCTACAATAGTACCTATCTTTGACTATTAATACAGATAGTATTTAGACTGGGAGTTAGAGGTTTTATGTGAACTCAAACATTGGTGTTAGATATTGAATCAGATGTAATGCATAATTTCCATTCAATTAGTATGTGTTTAACTATAACTATTGACTAAACGTTGACGTTAGGTACGATAACTACTCTATGATTAAAGTAAACACTCAATAAAAAGTGGAAGTTGTTGCATCGTCGTTTGGTACTGCAAGTAGACTTCTATCGTAGATGTATTATTCTTAAAAGTCCCTTATTGATGTATCATATGAATAATCTAAAGACAATTTAATGGTTAGTTCTATCCGGTTTATGTGGTAATAATAAAAATATAAAAGCAAATATTAAAGTACAAATTGTAGAATTGTGATTTATTGTTTATTAAAACTAACGATTTTTATCTCGATGACTTGGCTATTTCAACACTTATTTTTAACACAATTATTTATGGATATTTATTGAACAACAATCAAACAACACAAACTTAACTGTTTGTTAAATCCACGGGCCGTTATAAACAGTAGTTGTTATAAAAGTTATAAAACAGTAGTTAGATCAGACATCGCTGAGGAACAGAGGATGGCGATGATAATGGTACATCGAGCTTTCCAAAATCGGAAAAGTTGCAATACTCTAAGATGATGTATATAAAATACAGTGTAAATAAAGAAGAATATGTTTACAAAGTCCAGCCAGCGTGATCAAAAATGATGTTCTTCTAGAAACTTATCAGCTGGGAAGGAAGTCGATATCATTTTTTGGATACTGAAGTATACATTCAATTTATGGACTACTAGTGGAACCCCGTCGAAATCGACGGCTAATCTTGAGGTTTTATGTAAATTCAGCTAACTGCGTTGGATAGAGTGAAGTCATTAAAATCTTAGTTATATGAAGGGAGGATAAGCAATAATAAGTAGGCCTATGACGATTGTGTTCCCTAAAAAACGTAATTGATGAATTCGTTTAACACAATATTTCCTACCTTTCTTTTTATCGGCTTTAGGTTGCCCAAAAGGTTTTTTAGGAGTCTTATAATTGTTTGTTCATGAGTTTGTTTCATACCAAAGCCACTTTCACTATATGGGAGAATGAGTTCATATAATTAGTCTATCATGTTACGGAAAGAGTCAATATTTATTACTAACCACTAATTCCATCTGCTTTAGGAAAATCATTCAGATTGTATCCGGATTTATCTTATAAGATGTAAATCTTCATCTTTTTTTTGATAAAAATATCTGATTCTCCAGAAAGCACTAACATTCTTACTTCGATCTCAGCAATTTTAAATCCTTCTCTTGCCACATCGACCCATGTATGTAATCATCCTGTTCTTACTTGATAATTCATTAACTTATGGGGTAGTTTTGCCTTGGCCATATAGATCACATAAAGCTGTGCATGTATTTCGTGGATTGGAATGAACCATAATTGTAGGAAATTTTATCACAAATCTTGAACATTTGCGGAACCAAATCCATAACCTAGTCCAGCATTTGTAACAAATTATGCAAATGCGATGAGATGTGATGACACTGTTGTGTTTCCGAATGTTTTGTATGTAGTGAGGTTTAGATGCGTTGTTCAACACAACATCACACATGCTACATGTGTACATCAAAGTAAAAACTGTGTACACATTTTTTTAAATACCTGAATTGACATTAGTTCACCTACTTTACCAAAACCATAGACTCCGTAGTTAGTCTATTCCAAAACTTGAACACAGCTCTCATCCTCAACGTACTCATCTATGACACAATTTTTAACCCGATTATCAAAAACTGTTATACCAATAATTGAATCTCAGGTGTGTTCTTTCTTGAATTTAAAAATAAATGGTGATTGAAAGTAGGAAAAAAGGCAAGTGCCAACCTTACAATATGTATAAGCTAACCCGATAAGGAATAGTTATATGTTCCTTTGAAATTGATAAGTCACACTTATTTCATAATTTAAAATTTTCTAAGAGCAATAAAGCATAGATTTTTACAGGATAAAAACAATAAAACTTTATTTATACACTAGCTGTGTGCCCGTTCTACGCACGGGGATCTTATCATAGTCAGTTAAAACCTTCTTATATAAAGCACAGCAGTTGGTTTGCATACTTTCAGATATGCTGACAAAACTATTCCTTCGCAAATACAGTATCTGACAGTTTCAAGCCAAAACTAATGCTTCGCAATTAAATGTCACCCGGATCTTGTTGGTCCATATGTTATATCCAATGACTAAATAAACGGTATCAGCATTCTGACACATACTTTCTCCCATAAGTTTGTCAACAACCTTTATCATGTGTAAGCGGTGAGAGTAAATATACGGAAATGGGATTTGTACAATTTTGTTCAGAATTTAAAGGACTATAATATAATGGTTAAAAGTATTTAAGGTACTACCTCAACCTCTTAATTTAACACTTTATTCGGGTTGACATTTTCATTATCAAGGCGCTCTTGTCCTTTCCGTGAAACATTGAGAAACAAGGACATTAATGCGTTACCATCATACATACACACAAAAATACCGAACTTAATTAGTGAATCTGCTACGCTTTAAGCATAAAAAGGTACATATAAAATTAGTACTTGAATTCTTTGTTAATGCCATAAAATTTGATCATAACAATTTATAGGTATTTGCTTGGACCGGAGATGACTCGAAATTCTGTTGAAATGCTATCTGAATCGGTTTGCTATATGAAATGAAGTACAGTAGGCCTACTATAGACGATTTAGATTGGTAATTTGTAATAAAAATTACCAAAATAGGCCACGAACTATTGATACATAAACAACGTTCAAAGTGTTTGAACAATTCATGATGGTTTGCTGAATAAATGTTTTACTAAAATGCGTTATAGTTTTCTTAGCATAACATTTTGGAATCCAGACAGAAAAAGCAAAAATTATACAGTTAAGACATCAATTAAATTGAATAGGCCTACGCCTGTAATAAATAAGGTGCAACACCGACGATAACTAATTTGTAAATTACTGTGATGTGTTGGTACGTAAAAATGATTCTTGCTGCTACTAAAGGTTAAAAGGAAAAGAACCAGTACCGTACCAAAAACCAACGTTTACAGTTAAGAACTGTAGTACAGCCGACCAATTATATGCGTTAATCAAGGTTATTGATCTCTTGGTTTTGGATTTTCTCGTAAAAAGTTATCGGCAATCAAAGTTATTTCCCATTAATTGCTTTACTTTTACACAACTCTTAATGTAAACTTATCGGTGTCAGTTTGAAAAAAAACCTTATACAACATAACTTTCTGTTATTTAATAGATTGCGTATTCTCTAAACAATGGTTGCTGGTATATATATTAACATTATAAGGAAATGTGACAAAAATCACACAACGTTGGGTTTTTGGACGTTTATAATTTTATTTCTTAAGTACCTAGGTAGGCCGTGTATTCTATGGAAAAGTACCGGTATCAAGGATCGTTGCCGAAAGGGTTGTTATAAATAATTGGGTAAGCATACGTACCACACGTACCCAAGAGAAGGGCTATGGGCCTATTGGCTGTATGGTCCAGCGATTGCATCACACGGTGAGTAGGAACTATTGACTTTATATAGTCAATGGTAGGAACAGAAAGTGACACATTGGAAAATCGAGTTCAGCATCATCCGTAAACCTCTGTTACAATCACCCACTGCAGTTGTAATTTTTTGCTTTACACTTTACACAACCGCCATTGAAGAACCGTCAATGAGTGGAACATTGTTTCTAAGCTATTGGCGACGGTCATTAGTAAATTTAAGTTTCCCAGCCGTATACAACACTGATTCAATCTTGATTCAATGTCTTCTTTCTGGTTATCAAAACTCCAAAACAATTTTATACACATATTTCTGGTTCCTGACCTGGATGATGCCTA